ATTTTGAGGGTGTTTGAAGGGGTAGCGGAATGAGGATAAGGAGGAGAGCTAGAGCTGCTGAGAGCAATAAAGGTTGGAGTGGGAGGGAGGATAGGGATTTGGAGGTGACCACAAACTCTAGCTATATGTTCTGTTCTTATAGTCAGAGCATATTTGATCTAAAGGTAAAAGCACTTCACCCATCATAAGACAAAAGATGATGAGATCGGTTTGTTTTGTAGGGTGACTGTGGAATGCGTAAAAGAAGGAGGTCATCTAAATATTCATCTTACCGTCCTGTTGAAGATATTACTGATGAGGACTTGGAGAATATCGCAATTACAGTTAAAGATAAAATCTATGATAAAGTCCTGGTAGGTGCCTGCTTTTTCCTTGTGATTGCTTAGCGTGAGGGGCAGAAGATGAAACTACTTCATTTCATGAAGGGAATATAATGCTCATTGAAAAGTGCCAGAATAAGAGGCCTGGAGACTGCAGTGTTGTGTGTATCTACTGTGCAGGGACAGCAGGGAAGCTTCTCTCCCTTGCTTCAGAGGAGCACTGGAGAAGGTAGTGCACGATCTATGCGTAGCCATCTCTTGCTGTCTGCAAACAGGTGCCAGTTGTGGCAGTGTTTTGCTATTGTTACCTGTTGAATGGGAACTCTATTGAGACCACTAATTCCCTTCCACCAAAGGGCTATTAGATGGAAGTGGACATAGCCATGAATGATCTGGGCGCAGTATAAGCTAGTGACCTGGAAGCAAATTGCTCCAAATCCCATTTGTGTTCCCATCTACCTTGCCAAAAATTACTCTGAAGTGTTATCACGCAAGAGGAGTGCTGAAACCTGGAAGAGCGAGGGTTATTCAAAAGGACATTAATACATGTCTGTGGCATGTTGCTGCATAAGCAGGGCTACTCTTGTAAACACCTGCTTTGCAACCTTATCTGTGCATAGATTTAAAATGAACATGAGCCTCTCTGTTTTGGGGTTTGATGCTGTCACAGGGATCACTGCACGAAGATTATCTCATACCCTGGAATTTTAGAATGGTGGATATTGTTAGTTTGTAGGCAATACCATGTTCTTCATCTGGTGGCCTTACTGGAAGGAGGATAAACAAGTTGCAGTAATCACTTTTTTTTTTTTAAATCCCTATGGAGATTGCACTTGTCTTCCTCTCTCTCTCTCAGGTTCTTTGATTTCAGAAACCCTGCCAGCAAAGATTGGGTTAGTGGAGGGAGCCATAGGTTTGAATTTCTAGCACAGTGGATTGCAGGTGCTGTAGGAGGACAGTCTAATTTATTGACTAGTAAATATATGCATCCCTTAGGCAGTGCTTTTCTCCCCAGCTGAGTCACCTTTGCATCCTTTGAGAGTTCAGAGAATCGCCATATTCCCTTTTTTAACACCCTCCCTCCCCTTTAAGGGCCCATGCTTTGGCCACAAAGACTTGCATGGGGATCCTTTTGGTTTGTATCAATGGTGTACCTTACTCTCCTAGAGAAATCACTGCTCAGTGACTCTGTGGGTTCCTAGCGTTTGCCATGGGTGGATTGGAACCAGAAATATAACATAGGGCTCATGTAGCACATTAGATTCCTAAGCCTTCAGGACAGGGACCATCTCTTTGTTTTGTACAATACCTAGCGTACTTGTGAGCACTGTAGAAATAATCATGGTGGTTGTGTTTTTTCCTAATGTTTTATTAATCTAATTGCCTCTGGTTCCCAAGGAGAAATTTTAGTACTTTCCACCTCCAATTCTCTGTGTTGGAGAATTCCACGTGGAGTCAAGAAGTTCAGCATGATGTGAAATGCTGAATTTTTACACATCTCTCTCCCTCCTTTCCAACTTTAGGGTAGTACGTGCCACCAGTGTCGGCAGAAAACTATTGATACTAAGACAGTCTGTCGTAATCAAGGGTGCGGGGGTGTGAGAGGACAGTTCTGTGGACCGTGTCTTCGTAATCGATATGGTGAAGATGTGAAATCGGCACTTCTGGATCCAGCAAGTATTCAGATCTTTGGGTTAAAATGACAGTATGATTATGGCTTTGTTAGCTTCACAATCATCGTGGATTTCTTGGATAACATGAAACTCAAACATTCTACTACAGTAGTGTGGCTGTGATTTATATTTATCTTGCTGAGGTAGGAATGAGATTGCAGGACTTTCGGCCTGCTCTTAGTTGCTCTCAGGTGGGGGAAAGAAAGCTCATGAGGCTTAGAAGATGAAAGGGGACCTGATTCTTCCAATTTCTTGTGTAGCTTTTTGTCTCCTTCCCTGATGCTTTTACTGATCTGGTCTGCAATGCAAGCACCTTGTTTCAGATACTAAACTTAAAGATTGGGAAGTAAAGAACCTCAAGAATTTAGGTTTGGGTCCCCTTTCTTTCCTTGAGCCCCTATCCTGTCCTCAGCAGAGTGCATAGACCCGTCGTGTCCAAATCCCTCCCTTTCACGGGGTCTGGCTGTCTATGCAATTCACATACAATTAACATAATCAAAGTTTCCTCTTCAAGCTTGCCTCTTTGTTGCTCTCCCCTCTTAGACACTATCCTCGTTCCCCCCCTTCATATTCTTGTGGAGGTAATCAGATCCCCCTTTCAGCATGACAGACTAACGTTTTTGTACAAGGTCTCAGGTCTGCCCCCCAGAGCAATGGCCACATTCGTTTTTGTCTAATGCAGCTCCTGAAGTCACGTGTTGCAGGCAGCAGACCTCCTCTCCTTGCTCTGACCCCCGGTCTGTTTTAAAAAGTGATAATGTCCTTTTAAAAAACATTTTTAAAAATGTTTTTCCTTTCAGATTAACTGAATGTCTCATGTGGCTCTCTTTCATACAGCCTCTGAGTTAGTGTCCAAACCCACCCCTTCCTGGAATTTGGCTTCACTTGTAATTTAAACATAAATCCTAGCCTAGGGATCCTGCCTGAGGACCTTCTCTGCCTTGTTCTCTGGCTCAGAGACGTTCCACCTCTCTTTATATCCTGGTTGCAGGTAATTGGACCAACCTTTCAATGTGACTCAGCCATAGTTACCCTGTATTTTAATAATGGAGGCTTTTTATCACCTGAGCCTAGGGTGCTCGAACAGAAGAGCCCTGCTTTTTATATTCTGTTACAACACTATATCCCCAGGGAAATCAGTACTACTAGAATTTGTTGAGTGTGAGCTTTGAAAAATTCCAAGTAAAGAATGGATATTCTTCAGTACTGCAAATTTTTTTATCAAAAGATTGATTAATATTATCTATTAAAGTATTTGTTTATGAAATACAATATTGCCCTGTATAAGGCATTGTTACAGAACAGTGGCACTTTCTGCTGTTTTGGGTGGGTAAGCTGGTTGGAGAAGACAGGTTTGCATCTAATACTTCTGTAGATAACTCTACCCCTCTATCTTTCCCTCCTTGTCTGTAATTCAGGATTGGATTTGCCCTCCTTGTCGTGGTGTCTGTAACTGCAGTTACTGTCGCAAGCGTGATGGCCGCTGTGCCACAGGAATGCTCATCCACTTGGCAAAATTTTATGGTTATGACAATGTTAAAGAATATCTTGAAAGGTAAGATAATTACATAACTGCTTTAGAATTGAAATCCTCCCTTTCAAATGTGCTGCCTAATCAGGCTCTCAAAATGTTGTTTTCATTTAATAACAACTTTGTGGAGCTTTAACCCAGACCTAAGTCAGTCAGTCACAAAATATTGAAACTTGCTGAAACATCTAAGTAGGTACTTGTGACTTTTTCAGCCTGGGCCCACAGAAATTGATGGCAAAACTCCCCTTGACTTCAGTGAAACTAGAACTTGACCGCATGTGAAATCTTGAGACTGTCAACTTTACTGTGTCAATGAATAAGGCAATTTGAAAACTGAACCATTATTTTGTATTTTAAGAGTTAAATTGACTCCGTTTTTGTGTGTGCTTCTGTAGAGCGGTGACCATCTAAAATCAGATTCCCATAAAATAAACATTTTTCTTCCTCTTTTTTCTAGTTTACAAAAGCAACTGAGTGAAGACAGTTGAGGATGCTGAGCACAGCTGCCTGACCTGCAGACAAGTTGCTTAGTTCAGGGTTTAAAAAATTGTATTACAAGGATGTTTATACAAGATAGAATTGTAGAATATAGCTTTGGATTTTTTTTTTTTTTTTACTGATTGGTCTTATACAATGATTTCTCAGGAAATGTTTTAGTAGAGGAATCTATATGCAGAACATTCTTTTATGCATAGACACCTGTATACAGAGCAGAACAGCACTTTTAAAACTTCAGTGGTTAATTTTCAGTAGAGCTACAGAACGAAGTAGATGCTTAACTCCAAAGGCTGTGAAGGGAATTGTGAAGCACTAAAAATTTAACCAGTGGAGGGAGGAGAGTGGGCTCAGGCCATTACATTTTTACATCTCTTCCCACTCCAGTACCACTTCCTGACCTAAAGAGACAAGTTTTCCAAAGCCTTCTCTTTTGTGCACGAGCAAATCAAGTAACTGCATGCCTCAGTTTGTGGGCAAAAGGAAGTTTTGCCCCTGCAATGGTGGGAGGGAGTCCTTTTGAAAACTTTATTCAGTTCTGGTTGGACTGTGTGTGCAGTTTACCAGCCAACTGTTCCTCTTTCCTCCCTCCCCCGAGAACTTGTAAGTGCAAGGGGAGTTTTGTGGATACATGTTGTTTAAACAGAAAAAAGGTAATGCAATCCAACAGCAGTGATGCACCTGCTCTTTGAGAGTGATATTGACTTTTAATTTTAGTGCTAAAGTTTTTTTTTTAATAATTTCTATGTGTCTGCTTAGCAAAAAGCAGGCTTTAGAAACACTTCTTAAAAACCCCTATTACTGCAGCCTCAGATTGTCAAAATTTGTGTAAAATATTGTATGTTTTACTCTGTCGAGATAATAAAGCATTTTCACTAGAGGAGCATTTTCATCATGAATACAGAGTTTAATTTTCAATAATCAACCTGTCTCTCCGAAGGAAAATGTTAACAGGTATGAATCCAGTTTAGCGAGACAGACATGTTTGGAGGAGGTGTACAACATTTGAGTATCATAACTCTTCACACAGTAGGATGTAGTGCAGCTAGACAAAGGTTTTTCTCACAGTCAGCTGTTATGTACACTTTGTCTACATGCTGTGTGACAGCACAGCATTAAACTGCCAAGAGTAAGGCTACTCCTGCAAGCACCCACTTAGCTGACTTGTGCTTGCTCTTCAGATTGAAAGTCCAAACATATGTGGGCCCTCTGTTTTTAGTTTTATATACTGGACATTCATATATATTTTTGGTTTCCTGTCGATCAATTGGAATAGCTCTTACAAAGATGACTGGCATTGCTGGAGTCAGATCCTGGAGCTGGGCTTCAGCTATGACCCCTGCCTGGATGTCCCAGCGTGCTCCTGTATGAAAAACACACACAGAGTTCCAAATGGTGACTTGAATCATTTGTACATTGCAATGCTGCACTTAATAGTTGCTTAGTAGTAGATACCTTTCCTGAGGATAGAGCAGACGTGGCAAAACTGTAGGTCACACACAAAATTGCTAACTCTGGATCTCATCGCACAATACTGAGCTTAGCTATTAGCATTCCATACAGAACATTGCCTGCTAGAACCTGTAGTTCATTTCTCCCCCCTCAAACCCACTCTCCTGTTGGTAATTATTAGAGAGTGGGTGCGGGGGGGAGGGAGAGAACCGGATTTGTGCTGGAAATGGCCCACCTTGATTATCATACACATTGTAAGGAGAGTGATCACTTTAGATAAGCTGCTACCAGCAGGAGAGTGGGGTGGGGGGAGAGAAAAACTTTTGTAGGGATAATCACCCATTTTTTCATGGTCTGTGTGTATAAAAACATCTGTATTTTCCACAGTATGCATCCAATGAAGTGAGCTGTAGCTCACAAAAGCTTATGCTCAAATAAATTGGTTAGTCTCTTAGGTGCCACAAGTACTCCTTTTCTTTTTGCAAATACAGACTAACAGGGCTGTTACTCTGAAACAAGTTATTGTTGCTATAAATGATTCAGTAAGGGGAGGAGGATAAGTTGTCATGAGGAAGTTCTATGCACTGTGTTAGGTGTGGAGGAATTAGTCAAACCAGGTTAGCATAATTATTACTGAGCTATGAGAGGTGGTGCTGGTGTACTGTCCTCCAAGTGATCCAGTATGCCTCTTTTCAGCACTGAGTTCTGTAGGTTGTCAGTTGTGGTGGAATACATGACCAGGATCTCTAAGACTTAGGGGCAAGAGAGGGTAGGAACATTTTCCAAGTCTGGGATGGCTTGTATGAATTAGGCTTAGTGTAGGCAGCGCCTGTTTGCTACAGCCGATGTAAACCAGAGTTTTGCCTGAGTAAAGAGGTGTTTGTTAGACTTTGACTACACTGTCCTACATTGCTCTGTTCACAAATTCCAAGGGCAGAAGGGAGTGTTGTGATGATCTAATCTGTAGAGTGTAGACCTCCTGTACAACAGAGAACTGGCCCAAAATAATTCCTAAAGCCAATCTTGATGTTAAAGTGGTCAGTGATTGAGAACATGACCCTTGATAAGTTCCAATGTTTAATTACTCTTGCAGATAAAAATTTACTCCTTTCTGAATTTGTCTAGCATCAACTTTCATTCATTGGATCATGTTATAGATCTGCTAGACTGAAGAGTCCATTAAATATTTGTACCCCATGTAGATATTTATAGACTGATTAAGAAAGAGACTGTTAAGGGGTGACTTGAACAGAGTGAGCTCCTTGAGTCTAACACTGTCTTTTAATCATTCTCATGGCTCTTCTTTGAACCCTCTCCCATTTATCAATATCTTTCTTGAATTTTTGGACACTAGTCCAGTGCCAAATGCAAAGTTAAATAACCTCTCTATCCTGTAACATCTAGTATGTGTGTTGGGACATCACTCACAGGGTAAGGTAGCATTGCTGGAATGGCATGTACCATAACTTTGTATTTCCTGGGATTCAGAAGTTTGATTGTAGCTGAAATTAACATTTTGAAAGAGCCCAAGGCAAACCTTAACTGTTATTAAATAATCCAAAATGTTATCTTTGTATGGTTTGGAATAACTTCACAGCATCCTCATGTGCCCTAGAATATTCTAACTGCATGTTAGTCATTTCACTACCACTGCATCATCTCCTAGTCTAGTACACCACAGTTCCCCCTCCTGCCTATACACAGGAATCCTCGGGGTAAAGGGACTAGCATAGAATAAGGAGAGAACAGAGCTGAATCCCTCACTGCACAACACAACCCTCTTCTTCCCTACACTATTCTCACACACGCTGCAGCCCCTCTTACCTGTTAGCTGCTGGTACATGCGTTCCTTATAGCCCCGCTAAGTGGAGATGCAGAAATCCAGATCAGGGCTCTTCTACATCTCTCTGAACCTTCTATGTTGCAGATGGATGTGAACTGCTTCATTCATCTTAATGAACTGCACTGAACATGCCTAGTCCCACCTCCTCACCCCCATTTCTGCATTGTATGTCTGCTCTCAGTACTATGGGGGAAGAGCAGAAACCTTTGCTAAATACTCTGATCCCACTTCCATCTTAGAAGCAGCAGGGGCAGTGACCTTAGAATCCTTTCCCCACTGCAAGAAGCAGCGTAGGGAATACTTTCCTAGCTCTGCACCAAAAAGTCATTGACCCAAGGACTTGCTTTCCTTTGATCACGCTCAGTTTCCTGCACAATGGAACATGATTACATTACCATAACTGCCTGCTACAATCTTGTCTATTAAACAAGGCTCATTCCTTGACAACATTTTGAAAATGAAAGGGTCTGAAAGTTGATTTAAACTAGAAGTTTTGTTCTCAGGGCAAAACTTCCAAAATAAGCCCCTGCAGAATGCAAGCACAACCCCTGTTCTCTGAAAGCTGTTAAGGTAGCACTCACACATGGAGTGCAGGTGCAGCTCAGGTTCAATGACCACAGCTGGACATGTTAAGCCACCCAGTTACTGTGGTTCACAGCCTGAAAGCTTTCTAATTTCAGAAGATCCCTATTCCTGCTGACTATGCACATTTCATGCTTTGAGGCAGATCAGGTTAGCTCATGCCAACCTCAAGATTCAAACTTTACCGTGATAACTTTTTCAATATTGCTTCCCCAAAGGGAATTTACTGAAATTCCAGGTGGTTGAAATCATTTTGGGGAAGTTAAGAGTGACTGATAGTTTTGCCCTCAGGTGTGGGCAAAAAGATGTTAGGGCTCTCCTAAAAATTAACTGTTTATAAAATCACCTGGTTCTTCTATCTCAGAAACCCTTTGCTGAAATGACACCAAATTTGCCCTGTTAATGTTACTCTGCACCCCCTTGAAGCACTGCAAATTTCAAGGCAATCCAAGTGAAAGCCATAGAGTCTTTTAAACAGGAAGTGTTTAATTATGTAAAGGGAGCTGCTGCTCTGTTATTATACAGTCACGTTTAATACTTTGTTAATAGTAGAGTAAGTTTATTAAGCAGAGACACGGGCCATGTCTGAATGAATCCTGGCCTAAACAAATTAAGAACTAATTAAACCCATTATCAGTCCCAAACTCACCAGTGAATTATTTAGATCTAACTCCACGTGGCGAGGGTAATCCACTTTAGAGTAGCAGAGTGTATGCATGAGGCATGCAGAAAAATTCAAACAAACATCAGTCATTATGAGGCGGATGATATCGAGCAATGTAAACAGACATCTTACCTTCCATATAAAGACCACAAATATATGCTCCTTCCCTAGGTGGGTGGCCATAATCTTCTCTGATCTTTTTGGTAACCTCTACAGTCAGACACATCTTATCCAAAGGCCAGTCATTCTTTCGCGCCGTGCACTGCATAATAGCTTTTAAAAAAGCCAACAGATTACCCTGAGCAGTTCACCATAGACCATAATTTTAATGCCACAACTGCTCCCCTGGAGCCCTACCCAGGCTTGTTCGAGCCTAAAGCTACACAATTGGGGCGTTCTGGCAGTTGTTTGCCATATCTCAAATTGCAAGAAATTAGTTGTATAAATTGCTTTTAAGAAATGAAAAACAAACCGAATACCGCATCCAGTCAGCTCTCTTGCAACAGAGCAAAATACATTTCCATCTGAGCACAAAAATAGGTGCCTGCTCTCTGATTAGGAATGCTACAGAAGCTACATATTCATTGCTTGTGTCACTCAGTGAGTTGGATGACTAAGGAGTAATATTGACTAGCTCTGATGAAAATCACGATATCTGACAGCAAACTGGATCAACAGGGGCTGAGAGAGAAAGGGGTGTGTGTTTGTATAAGCTTCTGGGCTGTGCTCTAAGAATCTGTGGTCTACCGTGAATGGCTAGTTTAATGTCTTTACTGGCTACTGAGAATTTGAATTAAAGCATTTTTACAAGTCTCTCTTCATTGTGTAACTCCCCTTAGTGCACTGATTTCCAGACTATTGCCTGTGGATCACCAACTTTCCACTGACAGGGCTTGGGATTCTACGGAATTAAACATTTTGAGACACCAGCAGTCAGGGACTTGGGACTGGTGGGGTGGCAAGTCCTTGAGAGGAATTTGGTTTTACAAACTAGTGGGCAGAATGAAAAGCTGCTGAAGCTTGACAATGGCTTCTAGAGATCTAGGTAGTTGCTTTAGATTCTGAAATCATGCATGTGGGTTGTAAACATGGAGACTGAAAGCTTACTGGGGGATTGATGTGCGGTGATCGATGCATCGGCCGTTGATTTAGCGGGTCTAGTGAAGACCTGCTAAATCAACCGCAGATCGCTCTCCCATTGACTCCTGTGCTCCACTTGAACAAGAAGCACAAAGAGAGTCGACGGGAAAGCATCTCCCATCGACATAGCGTAATGTGGACCCCGCAGTAAGTAGATCCAAGTACATCGACTTCAGCGACGTTATTCACGTAGCTGAAGTTGCATAACTTAGATCTATCTTTCCCCGGAGGGTAGACAAGGCCTAAGGAAGCAGTTTAATATACTGCTGAATGTTTTTATCCCGTACTGTAGCAGTCCATATTCTGGGAGGAATGTCAGACTTTTTCTCACTTCCTTTACGCTGTTAAAATATTTTACGAGTTAAGAACCGAAGGAGTGAAACAGAGCGGTAGATTAACACATTTAGATTAAAGAATACTGATTGGAAAAGCTATGGTTACATTAGCAAACTAAGTCTAAGACTTCTCTTTTCTTTAATCAAGCACAAAAATATAACTCAAATTCAGCATCTCTTTCCTTTTCTCATCTCCAGACTTTAACATGATGATTTGGAGACTGAAGACTTATGACAGAGGGAAAAAAACTATTTCCACATGCCTGATTGTGCAAATTGTTACTTATGCCATTAATCCTGTGGAGTCACAGGGACTACTTGCATGAGTAAGAAGTACTCCGTATAGGATTGGAGCACATGGGTAGTAGCTCACATAGGTAGTGAGGGCCCTGGATGTACTCAACAAAGTTGCCAACACATTTTTTAAAGGGACAGTGTCAAGAATAACTAACATGATATCAAACACTTCTAGAACACATTAGATTGTTAAAAGTGAACATTTAAAAAATCTTAATTTGTCTTAATTTATTATAAAAGTCTTTTCAACTTGGATATTGAAAATAAACCAGTCTGTTTCTAGTCAATTTCAGTCATCCGTTCTCATGCAGTAGCATAATATAGCATCATTAAACACTGCTCACACCATAAAGGCATGTTTAGGTTAAAAATAAAACCTGCTTGTAAAAACTGTTTCAACCTACAATTTGGGGTTGAAACAATATGACCCTGTTCCTTCAAATGTTATTAGCCATTACTACTCACCAGTCAAAAAAGACTGAGGGTTAAAGAATCCAGAGAGCCACACCACTGCTGGAAGCACAAGATCTTGTGTCCAGATATCAAGTTCTCGACACCGCATGAGGAGGTCATTAATCCTGAAACAGAAGAAGCAGCAGCCACCTTAATGCTGACATAGTCATGTGGACAACAGTGACAGTTTCATGAGGATGAAATTCAATGAAGTATAGAGATGCTGTGTACCAGCTGAGCTCTGCATTATCTCTGTGGGAAGAAAGCATGGGGCTGAAGCAGTCAAAAGGTATGCGCAGATTAAGAGGCCAAGGTTAGGGTGGGATTAGTTTGTTTCTGAATCTGGACAAGCCCAAAGACAGTAGTGCAAGGAGCCCATCATGAAAAGGGCCGGGGGAGTGAGGCTAGTGGATCTGCAATTAGGAACACAGTCCAATTACTCTGTCACGGGGCTGCAGAGACGTTATTCCTTTTGAAAACGACAGGCCCTATTGGTTGCACTGTATAATTCCAACTTTGCAGAAAGCATAGAAGGAAATGTTTAGAAACACTTTAAAGATTAGTATTCCAGCAATATTTATTTGGTCTCTGGAGTGAAAATGAATTGAATTAAAAGGACAGATTTTATATACATGGGAAAGAACCATGCTGCACTTTTACAGCAATGGAATAACCATATCCATGGTAATTAACCACCACAAGTTACAGTTCTTTGGTAAGGTGCCGAAGCATACTTACCATTGTGCAAGGCCATAGGTGGATGGATAAGCCAGCTTGGTCCACGCATCTGGCACAATATCATAAAGCAATGCTGACTGCTGCGCATCCATGTCAGGCGAAAATGTCAGCTCCCCCTGTGAAGAATAAGTATACTTGGCATCAAAGAAGTCTGAATAGTTATTCTTTAGTAAATGAAATTCACTTCTCTTACCTTTAAACCAAGGTCCAGTTGTTTAAGTGATTTGCGTATTGCCCGAATTAGGAGGTTCATTCTCTCACACTCTTGGAAACAAACAAGGACATAGGGGTTCCGAACAGCGGCCCTCTGCATGATCTCTGTCACGTTAAATTCTTCGGGAAGTTTCTCCAGAATATCATCCAGGACATCCTTAACCTTATCACATCAATACAGAGTGATCAAAAATTGCTGCATTAGGGATTCACACATGTTTAAACATACAAGACCAAGATTATTTGTATTACAGTGGTGCCTGATGGCCCTATACACTGTGCAAGACAAACACTCCCTGCCCCAAACAGCTGACAATCTAATACTGATTTTTCATTGCACAGTTCTGGAATCAGACAAGCGCACAGATCATTCCTTATTGACTAAATAAGGACTTGTAAACTAAAAGCACCTGACTCCAGTTCAACCTCCTGTATTTTGCAAGACTAGACCCTAAAGCCCGTATGATATAGGAGCAAAACTGGAACAACCACAGAGGGTCCAACCCTCTGGGAAAAAGATGATGTAGGGAGCAGTCCCATCCCTCTATGCATAACCGTTGCATTTCTCTCTGCAAAATCTCCATGGCCTATTGGCAACATGGGAGAGGGCACATGGCCACAGAAAAGCAGGGAAGTAAGGGACAGGACAGAAGGAATTACAGTGGACAGGTGGTAATCAGTTGCTAAGACATATTCCCCAGTCCACAGGGAGGACGCACAGGAGGAGGATGGAAGACATGTAAAGGTGGCAGAGATCCACACGGCTTGAGAGGTATAGTCTCCTGGCACTCCAGCTTTAAGGGGCATGCCCCAGATCACCCCCATAATCAGGGCTGGTTTGAGTCAGATAGGCCCAACCTGGGATTCCAGTTGCTTGAGTCAACTACATTAGAACCTCGTTTCACCAAAATATATATGTATGTTTGTAGCCCTTAGAGTTGCAAACACAAGCTTGAAAACATGACTCGAGTGTAACCAAAGTTGCAGTATTTGCCTTTGGCTGTAGAGCCTGACACAATAGCCCCAAAAATGAGGGTTGCCTCAGGTATCTCAAAGGGTGTTAACTCGCTCTGCCTGCCTGCCTTGCCTTCTGCAAACATGACTATAGATGGGGATGTGTGTCTGGCACAGGAAGGAAGAGTGCAGCAGGTGCACCCACCTGCCTCTCTGGAATGGGAGGGATGCTCCCCACCACTGAGACTCCCAACATGGGGTGGGGCCCTAAGGAGCCGTGGAGGAGCCATATTGTGGTGTGCATATGGTACCAGATTGTCTTGATCCAGCTCTGGCCAAAGACTCATTAGTCCACTCTCAGAGGGGAACATGCAACAGACCTCTGGGGCAGCCCAGGGTACAGCGATTTTTACCTACGTTTTCTCCTTCTGTAGTTTTTTATGTGGGAGCGAAACACAGGAAGGAATCGCATAGGAAAGTACAAATACAAGATTAGGTAGTTCTCACAAATGTCCCCTATAATTTGAATGTGATTAGGTAATGGTCATGACCTGAACAGACAAGACACATGCTGCCTTCACAGGACAGTCATATTTTAAGTTAATTATGAAAATGGTGTGCGCCAGACTCATTAAAACAATCATAGTCAAGTTGCTTTAATTAACAGTAGTTTGCTAGTTGTCAGGAATTCAGGAAGCTAAGTAGTAATGGGGAAAGGTTTTTTTTTATTGCCAAATAAATCCCCACTCCATCATTCTACTATATCTTTATAGGGATCAACAATGCCATCCAAATTTGGCTGAATTAATCACTGGCTTTTTCCTTCTGGAAATTAGATTTTGAGTATGGTTTTAGTATGAATGCAAACTAGATATCAAAGGACCATAAGTCCTCTATGGTCAAAATCAGGAAATGCCATTTCAAACTTTAACAACTTAGTCATTTCAAAAAGCATTGGGCTGAGCTTTAAGTACCAAGCTCCCCTCTGGGGAAGAAGATGGCAGATTTTCTTTTTTCTTGATGAAACTGGTACACTTATAAATGTGAGCACCCTACATCTATTAGCATGGGGAGAAGAGAGAAAGAGTGTGCACGCATGCATGCACATTGGATGTGTGTGTGTGTACACGTACACACATAGGTTACAATCTGATCAGACATTTTGTCTTCTACATCTTAAATAAGCAAATGTAATACAAATCTGGTTTCACATTTTTCCCTCCCCAATTTCTGGACTAAAGGCAATTTATAATAAAATGATGACATATTTGAAAGCTAGGTTTATGAGGGACCTTTTGAGATTTGAAATCGGGACTTCCCCTGCCAGTTCAGTCCTTGGCTTCACTGCTGAGCTTTCCAACAACATCTTTCCTCCAATTGTGAGGTGGCCTTGTGTGATATGGATAACAGTCCACAAGGCTCTAGCGGCCCACAGGTCATTATGCATACTCTAGGCCTCCAAGCAGCCACCTGACAGTACTTTACCGGGAATGTCAGAACTCTGGGTATCTTGAAAACCTGCACAGGTGCTGCTCTGCTAGCTACCATGACGTGAGAGGGGCCTCTTGAAACCAGCATGGCCAGTCTTCCGCTTAGTCATATTGTTTCAGAGGAACAGCCGTGTTAGTCTGTATTCGCAAAAAGAAAAGGAGGACTTGTAGCACCTTAGAGACTAACCAATTTATTTGAGCATGAGCTTTCGTGAGCTACAGCTCACTTCATCAGATGTATACCGTGGAAAGTCTGCTGCAGTTTCCACGGTATGCATCCGATGAAGTGAGCTGTAGCTCACGAAAGCTCATGCTCAAATAAATTGGTTAGTCTCTAAGGTGCTACAAGTACTCCTTTTCTTTTAGTCGTATTGTGAAACCCTAATTCTTAAAGCCAAGGAGTTAAGATACTGGGGTGCACCTTTGTCATTACTTGTTTATGTGTCTTACCAATCTCACCCCTTTCTGCATGTACTCTGTTAAGAGCCCATACTGCTTTGCATCCATGCCTAAAACTAGACATTTTATTTCTAGTGGGAGCAATTTTGGCTGTATGAAAATATCTGGGTTATTCCTGACACTAAATAGAACTGCATAATGTATCAGCACATATAGCACTAACAAAAGCTTTCTCTGTCTAGGTGCTTATCTGGCCCCCATTACTGCAGTATCTGATTGCCAGTTATGGGTTTATCTCCTCAGCACGCCTATTCCATTAAAAATATATGTTATACATATGGGGATCTGAGGCCCAGAAAGTTTGAGGGGCAGATTCCCTTCCCACATCTGCTCTATTTGCACCACTTACGTGGTCCAAAGAGAGCAGAAGCTTTCTGCAAGTCCCCTGCTAGGGATACCCCTTATGAGGGAAAGTCGCCCACAAGCTTAGACCTAGGTGTTCTGGCTCCTAGACCTTTTGCTGCATCTCCACAGAGCTGTGGGCATGAGGGTTTGGCTGAAGCATATTGTGCTCTTGCTATTCCCAGCTGATGTAGAGGCCCTAGGGGACTATTGCCACGGCAGAAAAATCAGGGATCCATAAGTAGCTTCCTTACATTCCCCCATTCAGCTGCACTCAGTGGAAGCTGGACACAGTAGAAAATCTGCCCCTAAACGATTTGCTCAGAATCACATGGGAACTCTGATTCAGAGCTGGGAATTGAAGCCTGATCTTAACCACATCAGTACCAGGCACTTAAAGTAAAAATTGAAGTAGCTGTCAAGGTAAAAGGTTACCTGCTTCCTAGCTGACAATTTATAGAAAATGGCAGGGAAGGGGAAGAAAAGCAGAATCAGACAAACCTTAACATAATATTTTGCTAAGTCAGTGTTTCTTTGCTCTTTAAAAAAAACAGACAAAAAACAAAAACAAAACAAAAAAAACCCAACAAAGATAGAGTTATTCACTGGCACCCCAGCTTTCAAAGTGAAAATGGCATCAGTGGTTTCCATTAAAAATTAAATATTGCTCTTATATTATTTATGAGCCTAAATTCATCTCTGATGCAACCCTGAGTTACACCAAGTTTAAATTTGACCTGAGCTTATCTTGGTAAACTGGGTAAATTTCCCATCATCAGAAGTTAACTATCTCAGTGAAATAATGTGATACGATAAATACTCCCTTTTTAGTGGCATCCCCTGGCACTATGAGAAGTATTCTTATGGAAAACATGATTAAGAAAAACCACCACCTTACCTTTTCCTCTGCAGACTGTCCTGATTCCTCTCCCACAAGTAAATTCCTGGGCTGCATTTCCAAAAGAGTTTTGAAAAGATTCTCTGATGTCACTGTCAAGAATTGTATCTCAGCATTGGGATGGAGTCCATATAACACTGGGCTTTCAGCTGGAAGCATTTCATCTATGTACTTATGGTATCCAGCATAATCCAAATTTGGGGGTGCTAGGAACCCTGGTGCCAATGCCAGTTCTCCTTCAAGCTTCAAAAAGAGAATGAACAACATTACTGTCAGTTCTTCAAAAAAAAAAAAAATTTCCATTGTGCCAGGAATTAAGTTCACTGGAAGCCTGTTAGAAGTGCCACAATGGAAGATGGTTATTAAGTATTCATATTACAATTATTAACTACACACATTTCTAAAGTTCCCATCACCATAGTATTGAGGCACCTGTACTATCCTTCACTTGCAAATGTGTGGTGTTAGGGCCATTTTAGATACCCATCTGCAGCCCCATTACTGTAATATCAGAGCAAATATTAATGAATTTATCCCCTCAACACTGCCCTGAGTGGCAAGGAATTATTACTATCCAATTCTATAGGTGAGAAAACGGTGACATAATGAGCTGCAGTGACTTGCTCAAAATCACTCAGGACATCTGTGGCAGAAGCAGGAATAGAACCTAGATCTCCTGAGTCCCAGTTAAGTGCCTTAACCACAAGATTGCATTGTTTATTATCATCATTATTAAACATTTATATTGTGATACCATCTACAGCCTAGCCAGGTCAGGGTGCAGTGCAGACAGATAGCAAATGTATGCCCCTGGCTGAAAGAGAAGACATTACAAGGTGCATGAGAAAAAAAGCACACCAGAATGGGTGGTGGTGGAGACAGGGTAACACAATAACAGGATGTGAGCCATATTTAGCCAAACAGGAGCAGCAATCCCAACTCATCATCTGCTTAGTCACTATCAAGTGGCAGGTTTCTGTGTGCATTACAGCATCCGCCCTCTTCATTCCACCTAGCTCCTAACATCGAAGAGGTGAAATGCAGAGGAAGGCCATGTTTCATTCGACCTCTCAGCTGGTAAGTGTCCTGCAAAGAGAGGAGTTTTGTATTGCATACTGAAGGTTGCAAGGTTTGGCCTCAACTGGATATTCAGTGGTAATAAGTTTCACAGCTGAGAAAGCCTTGTTCCTTATTGCTGGATTGAACCGGGATTCCACCAGCTGCAGTGTCTCTATAGAACACAGTTGCCATGGAAAGCTGCAGAGAGAGAGAGAGTGTCTCTGAGGTAGGCAGGCCCTTACCTCTTTAGGGCTTTAAAAATAAGAATCAGGGTCATAAAAAGATCTAGAATTGAATATGCAGCCAGTGTGCAGCTCAGTGCACTGGTGTGATGTGCTATCCATGGTCTGGCCTACCTAGCAGCGATAACATAGGGAAAATAAAAGCAGTAATACACACATACAATTGCATTAGCTCTTTGCTTTCCTTCACTCTCACTTCTGAGCAGCAAGGACTTCAATGGGTTCAGAGAGGCCTTTGAATTCAGTGTCACAGGCCAGAATGGTCTCACTCCAGTCTGGAGTGTCATCTTTGCTGAAAGATTTTTTTCTGGTTACAAGAGCCTTTTTTCAAGACAGCCACTTATTTTTGATGTGGCAGATCTATTCCATATAGCCACAATAAACTTCAAAGGCATTCTGGTATTTTGCAAAGTCAAGAACAAGTCACAGATGAAACTAATACAAACAGAAATTATTCTGGTCTTACAGCCAGCCATTTACTGTGGAACCTGCACTACAGATCTGGTTTTTGACCAGAATGCCCGGTCGAAAAGGGATCTTGGCGGCTCTGGTCAGCACGGCTGGCTGGGCCGTTGAAAGTCTGAGCAGCTGCGCAGCGGGGTTAAGGTAGGCTTCCTGCCTGCCCTTGCCCCACAGGGCTCCCAGAAGCGGCCAGAATTTCCCTCTGGCTCAAGGAGTGGCAGGTTTGTATAATTTTTGGTGGTGCCCAGAATGGGTCCAAGTCCTGCCCACCCCCAAACACTTGCCTAAGGCTCTGGGAGGGAGTTTGGGTGCAGGAGGGGTGTGGACTCTGGGAGGCAGAGTTTGGGTGCAGGTGGATTGAGAGGTTGGGATCTGGGCTGGGGCAGAGGGTTGGGGTGCAGGAGGGGGTGTGGCGCTTACCTTGGGCAGCTCCGGAAAGGGACTGGCACACCCATCTGGAAGCGGTTCCTAGGCAGGGAGGCAGGGCCGGGAGGTCTCAGCGTGCCACTGCCCACAGGCACTGCTCCCCCAGTTGGCGCTTGGGGCGGGGGCAGTGCATGGTAACACACACAGCCCCCTGGGGCCGCAAGGACGTGGCGCGACGATGGGCAGGAAGCTGCCTTAGCCCCAATGCACTGCCGGTGGTGGTGGCTGGGAGCCCCAAGGCCCTTTTAAATTCCCCAGGGGAGGCAGGCAGGGTCGGGAGAAACTCCCGGGGAGGCTTGCGGGGGCAGCAGGCGGGGCCGGGAGAGAGACCCGGCCCCCAACATTGGTGGAGTCGGGTCCCCAGGACCTGAATATTCCTGGAGCATGGGCACCATGGGTCCATATAACTTGCCATCCCTGGCTCCCCTCCTAGGTGGGGGCACAGCTGTGTGGGGGCTCTACATGCTGCCCCCATGCTGCATCCAGGAACTGCAACCAGTGGGAGCTGCGGGGACAGCTCCTGCGGATGGAGGCAGCATGCAGAGTCACCTGGCTGCGCCTCCACCTAGCAGCTGGAGAGAAATGCTGGCTGCTTCAGGGAGCCACCTGAGGTAAGCACAACCCACAGCCCGCACACCTTTCACACCCAAACTCCCTCCTATAACCCGCACCCCCTCCCACTCCTCAACCCCAGCCATGAGCCCCCTCTTGCACTCAAACTCCCTTCCAGAGCCTGCACCCCCGCCCTCAGTCCAAACCCCCCCAGCCCAGAGACTGTACTGCCTCCCACACCCTATCCTCCTGCCTCAGCCCAGAGCCCTCTCCCATACTCTGAACCCTGATTTCTGGCCCCACCTGAGCCCGCGCCCCCTCCTGCACCCCAACCCCGTGCCCGGCCCGGTGAAAATGAGCGTATGTGGGGGAGGGCGAGTGACGGAAGGAGGAGGGGATGGAGAGTGCGGGGGTGGGGCCTCAGAGAAGGGTCTGGGCAGGCGGTTTTCTGCAATCAGAAAGTTGGCAACCTTAACTACAGACCTCACCTACAATGATCATCTCAAGGTACCACATTAAAGTAGCCCTAAGGTTTCCAATAAAATTATATTCTACCTTCAGTTAAAGGCCACTTCTGTTACTTATTCTGTATTGTCTGGTCTCTTTGGTGGCACTTAAAATAGGTCTAACTGTATTTTTTGAAGATTCATACGCATAACAGGACACTGCAAGTTTATAGTGGGAACCCATTGCTTCTTTGTCCACATGCCAAACACCACATACAACACAAGGAAAAATCTCAGTATAACACTCCCCACATCTTGCCTTATTGCTTAAATATGCAGCTAATGAATTCACCAAGAGTGCCAATAAGTAAAGACAAGTCACTTTTCCAGCTAAACATAAAAAGACAACCACACTGATTAAATGTATTTGTTACCATATCTGTTCGTGTTTACTTGGCTGCCAGTCAATAAAAGAGCTCTTGTTTCCTCTGGTAATTTAGGGGAGTAACATTGTCCTATTACAGCAAAAGCTTGAAAATGTACCATCTCATTATTTAAAACATCAGTGGATCTTTACTCAGGGTTGGGTACCTAAACTTTCCAAAGGGCATACAAACACCAGTGATTCTCTTCAGGTTTCACCACCTATATTTATTTTACAATTATTTGAATGAAAGTTCAGGCTTGTGAAGGTTAATGGACTGCCTAGGCTGGAAACAGTAATTCTTTACTTATCCATAGGCTAGACACAGAGCAGAAACATAGAATGAGCTTCCCACACTAACCCCATGACCTCAGCTGTCATTTGGAGAAATCAGCCTCTGTAGAGGTCAGAAGTACAGTAGTGTTTATCCTTCCATCTCCATGGTAACTAACTCCAGCGTCTTCTTCTGAACAGCGACTTCCAATTGTATTAAAGTGAGTGTGGCTTTTTGACATATGAAAACCTGCTCATTAGGGATTGAGGAGACACAAGTGCACTCATTTCATTTAGAACCTTCAAGACAGACTTCAACTGCAATGGCAAGGGTGAAAAGTCCATTTCCCCTAAGTTATCGAAGCTCCAGAAATGATCTGCTCAAGGCTTACATGTTAATTCTCCCCTGCCCCCACCTATAAGCTGTTTGGACAAAGCAAAATAATAAAATTGTAAAAAAAATTAAAAATCTGTTTTCAGTATAGTCATTTCTTCACTCTTTGACTAGTTAATAAACTTAAGAGAAGCAGCCAGAGAAATTTAGAGTAAAGTAATGCCAACACAGTCACCGGGATTTCTAGAAAGAAAATTAGGTAAATCCAGGATTTTTCATGCTTTATGTTCTGTCACAACACAGAAACAACTATGCAGAAGCTGTGGATTTAGAAACATTTTTGGAAATTTTGCCCTTTGGAGGGATGGACAATGCTGTCCAACTCCAGATTTCTAAGATTAATATACATTGTGCTACATACATCTGGTGGTGGTGGGGAGCGGGGGGCGTTTGCTGTAGCTGCAGCTAAGAGTCAGAAATGCAGTGGGAGTGGCAGAAAGGGAGAAGTGGTCTATTATTGCTTCTCATATTCTGAAAACACCAGAAAAGGAGGGAAAGCCATTCTGCTCTAATGCTTTTCATGAACAAGAAAAGAAAGAAAAGAAAATATAAGACAAGTAAGTGTAGGTTCTTGGGTGTCTGGTATGTGTGTCACTCTGTGGTGCTATAACTGAAGTATCTTTCAATTGTGCAGCTTTTCTACCCCACCAAGAGTTTTCAAAACATGAATGCATCAAAGAGGGGTTAATTTTTAATAGGAAAACCTGTTACGTAAATACACTGTTCAGAATGCAGTTCAGTTGGCTCCTCTATACACTATATAGTATTGTTCCAAAACACTTAATACATGTTGCTAAACTACGGGTATTTGCAAAAGCACTTAAGTAAGCAATATACCAAGTTACAAAAGCCTTGCAGACAAGATTTTTTTTGTGATGAAGTACCACACTCATTACAAATCGGATCATTTATTCCAAGACAGATATACAAGATTTTTGTATGGATGGGGTGGGGCTGAGTGTCACCTCAAAATGCTTCAGCTCTTAGCAAATCAGATCATTAAAGAAATATTCATCATGGTGTTTAACGTATTAAAATTAAAGAGAAAATATTTTATTTCTTGTAATATTGAAAAATTAGAGTATTTAGGTATATATAAAAAATTACCATAGCTGGGCTCATGAATTCCTCTAAATACATATGACACAGCTTGCGGTCCCAGTCATCAGTGATGTGTCCACCATACATAATCTCACCAAAGAGATAACGAAAATCTTCCCATGGAACCTACAGAAGATAATGGAATGCATAATTAAACAAACAACAAGTCAGCTTTCCAAAGGACAAACCAAAGTCACACAGAATAATAATGCATGAAAAATGCTTCATCAGAACAAAAGAAAATCAAAACACTTTCCTGAGAAGTTGCAAACATTAGGTATTCTCATTAGTTTCTATTTAGAAAATAACCATACTGCAATATGGGTTTTTTTTAAAAAAAATTCCAGTTATAGGTGTATATATAGATATCTGATTAAAAATATCATGGTTTCAGTTAAAAATCACTAATTGTGCAAACCAATATCAGTTGTGCCATAAGTCATGATTTTTAGTCTAGCCCTTATGAAAAATCTTTTACGGCGCAAAGTACATTTTCAACACACTCCATGAGGTAAGAGCACATAACTCATTGAGGGATATATGTATTTCCCTATCCAGACCTTTGAAAACATAGTCCTTATGAGCAACTGGAAGGAAACCTACTAACTACCAGGTCTGTTTTAAGGGGGAAAACAAAACTTTTATCTGATTGCAGTTTTTTATATCTCCTCGCTAGAAAATACTGAGTAAGTGAAAGTCTATATTATTTGAAGTTGGGATGCATTCAAGAATTTCAGTAAAAATGGAATTAATATTTTTGCTATCACTACCAAATCGCTTGAGGGTTATGTTCATTGTGGTTATGGTCATAGTGCCATACCTCCAGTTTCTGATTAATGATGGTAGCATATTTTACTCAAGAAACCACTGTCTCTTTTTTTATTTGGCTTAGCAAGATTCAAAGCCTCTCTTTGCTATCCTTGGTTTGCAAAATTTGCCAGTTTGTGATGAAGCCTTTCCAGACAGAAACCTTTACACCCTCGGGGGCAGTATTTGCCTCCTAACAGTTCAAGTAAAAACCTTAATTATAGGCTTTGTATGTTGCATGATGTGACAGAATGGAACAAGTAAAATAGCTACAGCTACTCCAGTGTGCTTGCTACAAGTTTATTTGAATTTGAATAAGTGAAAGTCTTATTGCACCTTCCTTTTAAACTGGTTTGAACTGAATGAAAAAGAATGAAAAAGAGAAAGAAGTCACCAGAATGTAATAAACTGTGCTACATACTGCCTCAGGAAAGGCTGAACAGCACATCTCTAAGAAGAATATTAACTTTTGGTTCAGAATAAAAAAAGAATAAACTCACAATTAAACAAGTTTTTCTCCTTATTGGCTATAAAAATGCTACTAATACATTTCTCAATCTACTATACATTTATTTCAATACACTGGTATTTGTTGGTCAGGAAATTGCTTTTTCTCTTTGTGCCAGATAACCTTGTTCAAAGTGAGTGTGTCTTACAAGAGTATAGCAATATTCTAATTCAGTATAACCTCAATTAGCCACATGTCATGGGGAACATTGACAACGTTTAGATAATCAAGGCTTCTGATTTAAGAGAGAAATTTCCGTGTAATCACAAGAGATCAGGGACATGTTCTCTGTTTTGGATAAAAGGGCTTTTTGGATAACAGGTTTGCATAATAACATTGTACTGTGTAGGAAATTAGCCTGATGTGTTCATGGAGAGAGAAATTCAACCTCCACACTACTCAAGTCCAGCACAGGGGCTATGCTGTAGGAGGAGTTTACCTATTTAGCAGCTGCACAGGGGCGCCTACACAATTGCATGCCACAGGAAAGGTCTCATATATACTGGTACAGAAAGCCACATAGTGGAAGGATCAAATAGTCCCAATACCCTACACAGCTGGTCGCTGTTCTATCCCATATACTTGAAAAACAAGTGTGATGGGTGAAGGAGTGGGTTGAACAGAAGTCCTGCACCTGGGCCCTGGGTTGATTTTGTCTCCACAACCACTCTGAATTCCACCTGCAGAGAGTTCATATAATACTTGGGCTTTGTGTGGGTGAAGGGAATTTCACTCATGGGGAAGTGGATTGGGTCGTGTCAGCTCAGAGCCACAAGAGGATTAAGTGTCCAAAAGATAAGGTCCTCAGCTGGTGTAAAATGTCATAGCATCATTGACTTCAATGAAGCTGTGAAAATTTACCCCAGCTGAGAATCTGCCCCCAGTCTTCAACATAGGCTTTGTGCTCCATGGGTCAATTCTTGCTCATCTTACTAACGCAAATAGTCCCAAATGAGCAAGATGAGCAGGATTTGGCTCTGTTTTCACGCCACATTTTGATGCTTTTAAGATTCCTTTTTTCCTCTTGTACCTACATTTTTAAATGACCATAAAGCTACAATGCAATGTGATGCAACCTGCTAACCCACAAAATATTATTAATACGAAAAGTATGCAATACTACCAAAAGGCAGGGTTTAGTAATTCTCTCTCCTACTTCCCATCCGAACTAGTATTTATATAATAAGAGTCCAGGAATGTCACACTCTGTGTCTCTCTGAAGTCTAAAATGTGTATTGAGTCCGTGTGAAGCAATGGAAGCAGCTACAAGTATGGCCAAGAACTCTTATTATTCAGAATATCACCAGACTGAATCATCTCTGGTTGTTGTGGTCTGTTACCATATAGTTTTTTAAGTTCTCAACCATTTTGACTTTACAGATTATACCCAGGCAGCGTACAGCTACAGTAAAGCATGTGTCTATGCCACACCAAGTGTCGTAGGCGATGTGGACAGCACTATGTCAGCAGGAGAATTTCTCCTGCCAATGTAGCTACCGCCTCACACAGAGGTGGATTTATTACACCAACAGGAGAGCTCTCTCCCTTCAGCATAGAGTGTTTTCACCAGATGTAGCGATGTAGTACTTCTATTGTAGACTAGCCCATTGATAACTATGATATCAGAAGTAACTCAACCAATTACCATCCTTACTTTACAGCTAATTTGCATGTAACAGTTTAATTGGTTATATATGGGAGACTGCACAAATGGTGGATTACTTGGCCAAACCGCCACACCTGTGCATCCAACTGCCACTCACACAAATCAACAGAACCACCCACACAACTAGCAACGTCTGTCGAGTCGGCATGAAGTGATGGAAACAACAACTAGTATGGTTGAGAGCTCTTTTTGTTAAGAATATCATTAGGTTCAATCATTACTGAGATTCGTGGTCTGCTACCAACCAATTTTTAAATTCTCAGCCATTTTTGGCCTCCTCTTAATTTTTTTTTAAATACACACATGACTTTATATATTATACCCATATGACAGCATGGCTTTCAGCTACTAGTAGCTACTTATTAAGCTTATGAATAGTTATTTTGAGAACAGAGCCTAAAGAGAGAAGGAAATTTATCAGTAAAGAAAAATAAGGGTTGGAATAAGCTGATTTTAGAGAGTCATTTTCTAAATGAGAACCATTGTTAAATCACCACTATAAAATTAAGCAATTATTTCAAATGTGACACTAAATACCAAATGAAGGAAATTCAATTTCATGTCCTATTAGCAAAAAGCATCAATGAAAAGAATAAAAGGAAAACAAGAACAAATACATGTAATGACTACAAACCAGGACACACAAGTAAATGTATGTCATTGAAAGTAACATTTCACATATTTTTTTTTAAAAAACCCTCTGCTGATCTCTGAAATGTCTAAGTTATTGAAAAAGGTGGTATCAGAGAGCCTACTTACTATCTACCCCATTAAATGCTGAATAATCATTCTATTATTCAGGCTTTGGATTTACAGAACTTAAAAAATGACATTAATCGAGTATTTAAACCACACAACTGTAAAATATGCTGTAGCTCAGAAATAAAATCACTCATCTACCCTTAACTTCCACTCGGGGGAACATTACAGAGAAAGTCAAAACAAGGTGGTATCCTTAATACATAATAATGACACATGCAGGAAATGCACCATTATTTATACATGTGACGTGTTGTAAATTGCTTCCATCATCAGAACTAATTGTAGTGATTATTAATGCAGTGTTATGAACTGTCAGAATTGCTGTATGTAATTACATTTGTGCAAATGCTTCATTACCTGCCTAATGAATTTGGCATATATGCACATGTAAACCACTGTTTTTGTTAACATAATGAAGGACATTTTTTTTGCGCTAAGCTGCTGATGTGAAACTGGTTTGACCTATATTATGAAGTTCAAGCATCCACTGCTGAAAAACCTTTGCTCTGGTATATTTTCATATTCAGCAATAGATGCATATAATGTAAGCTATTTTAATAACGGCTGCAGAGAGAAATTATGTTCCACTCCTGTATCCAAGACTGACAGATTCAGAACAATCTTGGTAAAAGGTTACTTGACTACTAATTCTTACTTTAGTGTGTGCCTCTAAATAGTTGTAGAGGACATTGACACAAATGGTGAGATCTCCAGTATTGAAAGGATATCTTCGATTCCAGCCTTGTGGTCCAAACTTGAGCCTCCCAGCCACACAAGTATGAAAGTAGCACAGAGAAAAGAGTATGCTTTTAAACTCCGTCTCCCTGGTGCACAATTCAAGTGTATCCTGCCAAAGAAGAAAAGCAATGTTTTTATCCAGTGACCATTACATTACTATATAGGCATAGTTGCCTTACTTGGGCCAATGGGACTACTCACACATTTGAAGTTAAGCAAATGGAGCGTTGTTAGCAAGATTGGAGCCTAAGTATTTTTCACTTTATATACTTCTATTATAGTTAAACAGAATTGCTGACCAGATAAATTATCTGAGAAGGAGCACTGTATTGCCCTTATTTAACCCAATATGACTGTAGAAATTAAATAAGTTTCTAATATTACTCAACAATCATATAATAGAGGACATTTTTATAAAATAGACCACCTTAAAGACAATCTCACAGAGAATGGTATTCTCACTATAGAATTCTATAGGGTAGTTTAAAATTCCATAGAGAAGTTATCACTCTCGCTCAGATTTTATGTGCTTTTTTCCAAAAAAGGTATGTTTGGTAATTGTAATTTAATTGTTTTCTTTAGTCTTCATTGACAGAAGCTTGGAAATAGGAGTTTCTGTACAGCTTCTTCTTCTTTTTTTTTTTTTTTAAGTTCCCAAGTCAAACTTTAAAATGTCTTTCTAAAGTATGATCCTAAATCTACATTCCTTGCACCCCCAAGCTCTTTTGAATTGTCATAATTGTGTGTAAGAAGTAATTAATATTACAATTGATTTTTGATATCCATATACATCTTAAGTATAAAAACTTCTGGGGGCTAAATCTCTGGCTGTCAAGGCAAATCACCTTCCCCAGTGGAAGAATGAGTAGGAAATTGTGAGCAGGAGAACATGTTTCCCACACACAAAGACCGGGAAACATCTCATGATGGGGAGCATCAAGTCCTATAACAAAATTTCTTCTGGTCAAATTAGTGAATTAAATAATCAGAAATACAATATTGGTGTAAGATTTATGAATCTGACTCAATCTTCCTGACCTGCATATAGAAATCCATACAACATAAAATTTGCCCTACCTGGGGCTGGCTATATAGTGTAATGAATGTTTTTTTAAAACTGCAGCTGCTCCTACTGAAATGTCAAATAACTTTACAAGAAACATAATAAAGACAGTAAGTACTTAACTTAGTCTTGATATACCTGCAAAGAGTCCGTAGCACAAAAGTTTGCCTCAACCACCACTGACTGACAACCATAAGAACATACAACTAGAGTTTCCTGTTGAAAATCTCACCTTTTTAAAAGATTTGAACTGGAATATCAATTTCTAAACAAGTGACCCATATCTTAATTTAGAGCAGAGTTAAATTAAAGTATCTCTTCAAATTTCAGGATGTCCTGTCTGTATGAGAACTATTTCTTACTGGATGCCTTTTCAACATCCCAGGATGAATAAAGATGTCAGAAAATCAAAGTTGCAATAATTTCTCCTTTGTGCCAGCTTTAAGATTCACGTTTCAGATAAACAACCCTCTTAGGCATAACGGCATTTCCCATTTTTGAAGACCTCACCATAGTTCAGTAATATTTTAGCTAAACAATTCCGTGAAACATACTTTTGCTAAAAACAGTCCTTGCCAATATATTTCAGCTTTCTATTAAAAAAAATGCTGTGACGATGTATTATAAACAACTATATCGTTGTACAACAAAAATTGCCACTATAAAAACTGTCCGCTTAACCAAGAGTACACATAATTATTTCCCTTAGGAATCTTCCAGAATCTCCTCCTTCATTTCCTCTACCAGCCTCACATCACAACCGCCATTTCTCTGGCCCAGAAAACCTGACGTGGAGTTCTCTGTATTCTGTGTTACCCAAAGGGGTTCCTTAGAACAGTGGCACTTAAAATTTTCACTCTCATGCCTCATTTTTATCGAGGCAAATAACTTCAGGCCCTGCCTTCGTGTGTGCTAGATACAAAATTCCTGTGTATCAAATATTTGAATCACTAGAATACTAAAGTACATACAGTTATAATAGTCTTTACCTTGGCACATTTCAATGAGATGGATGAGCTTGATTCTGTAAGCACAGCTTACCCTGTTGTAGAAGGGCTGACCTGAACTGAAACTGGAAAGTGATCTACAAGTCCCCCCAGAGGAACAAACTCCAAGAGGAACAGGGTGTCAAGGAACGCTATTCTTCCATTTTTAAGTCCCCTTTCCCCTTACATCTCCTTGCTGGCAAGGCCCTGAGGCAGTTGGCCATTGCTTCCTCTTCCTATTCTTTCCTTCCCAGCAGTTTTAAAACATTTTTTTATACAGGTGAATAATGACAGCAAATCAATCAGCAAATACCCTTACTTGTATACAAGAACAGGAATTCATAAAAAGGGTATGCAGCCAGTTCCTAAACATTTGTGCACAAAAAAACCACATTGTGCCCAGCAAATTAAAAGAGTCATTTGAAATGGAGCAAATGTTCATAAATATTGTGTACTCAACCAATTCTACTTTTAGAGTAAGGTCAAATTCTTCACTAAGGCTTTTCTTTGGGGAAGAAATGGGACTACTAATGAACTCGTTATATACATTTTGTTGGGTTTTCTTTTTTTTGCGAGAAGGAATTTTTTTTATAGTTTCAAAATAGAGTCAAAACAGTTGGCTCGCAAAAAAAAGGCTGTGACATTACAATCAGACTCAAAACTAAAGAAAAAGGCCACTAAATAAACTTGAAGTTACAATAAATAATAAAAATTAATTGTAGAGGCTATCAATAAGAGAGTCAAGATATTGCATACAACAACAATCACTGTTTTCTGTCAATTTACAGTCATATTGCTGGCTTATGGCATATACATTAACATGGATGATCAAGAATGTTACAAATATTAACATTAAAGGCAAGTGAAAGAGATGATTCATCTTAAGTACCTAATTCATCAACCTTGGAATTAATCTGTAAGGAAATAAGGGTTTTTGCTTCGTCATCATAAAAGAAAATAATATTCACCATATTTAAAAAGGAACAAGACTGAGGTTTAAAAAATTACCTGGAGGTCTCATTGTAGAGATTATCAATAGGTCTTATTGAAATTTAGTTTATGTAGTTTGAGTTTCTATAATTTACATAAATTCACCTAAATTAAGAAATACACAAACTTTTCAAGAACCAGAATTGCTGTTACTTTGAAACAGATCACCATTCACATGCCTTTCAGTTAAACAATCTACAGTAATACCAATTTACTATCACAGTAGCTAATGGTTTCCCCCATACCTGAGGAAGTGGTGGAGTGGCTGGCACAGGAGCCAGTGAAACTGTATAAACTAGATTTTTGTCTGTGGACTTTTCCCTGTACAACTTGACCAACTATGGCCAGAATACCTCTACTTTGTGCCAACTGAACTGTGCAAAGTCCCACTTACATACATGCCTGATGCTCAGCCTGGCCTTTGTCTGCTCAGCATGTGCATGGTACATTTCAGTCACAAGGCTTACATTATGCTGGCCTCCCATTGCCCCAGGGCTGTTTGACACACTAGGCAGCCATGCCTATTTTGTTGAAGTATTGTAGCAATCACTGTGGAGACTCTTCAAAATCTGGGGAATCCTAGACACTGGGGGACTCTGCAAGTGGTTCTTTAAGCCAGCCCTTTCTGTAATGTGCTGCTGGAACGAACAAGCATTACATAATATCCACTTTAAAAAAACGAAGTAGGGTGTCCAGACACAGTGACGCTCATAGATCTAACCAAAGAAGAAAAGTCCTTCTTGCCTCTTTCCAAGATTATACCACCCACACCAGCCTCCCTGCTCCCTCAAATCACCCTCAATCAACTCATCCATCCACCTCCGGAAGAGCTAGGGCTACCAAGGAAAAGAGATGGATGGACACATGCCACCTACTGATAATAGAGAAGGATACAGCACCATGATTTGGGCTATAAAAATCTCTTTCTGAGAATTAAAAATACTACTCCTACTAAGATTATATGTAAGAATAATAAGATGATTATATGTAACAGGCACTGGCAGGAATTTGCAGCCGTGGGGGAGCTGTCAGTGGTTGGAAGACGTCACGATAGGAAAGGGGGAGCTGACATGGCACTCTTAGATCGCTAGTTGGGAGGCAGAGTATCAAATCCTGGGCCACAGCAACATTTCTCTGATGTTGAGGTAGCCAATACAGCTACATGTCTGATGTGCTGCTTCCTCACTGACAAAAGGAGAGCATTGTGTTGGTTAACCCTATACCACTACCTAATACTGGGAAATACCATCAGGGATAGTATCTGAAGCATTTTGCCCCATGATGATGGGAAATTGATTACAAGGAGGCAGGATAGGGCAGAGCTGGTTAGCCTTCTATGACTTTTGTTTTCATATGGAATGGATATGGTGACCCCAGCAACAAGCTCCCAGCCCTGGTAGACTAGTTATTTACAAAAGTTTGTAGTAATTAAAAAAACCCAAACCCATAGATTATGTAAATGTTGTTCTTACCTGGTCAAAGTTATAGAGGGCAGCATGCAAATTAGCCAGCACCCCAGTAGGGGGTTCACTGGTAATTTTAATTGAGTTTTCTAGAATTCCTTGAGGGATGATATGTTCTTCTGGGGTTGGAGCTGGTTCAGCACTCATAAAGACTCGGAAATCCGAGTGGCTTCCTTTGCTGTATTGTTCAAGGAGTTGCTCCAAGGTCCCCAACCATTTGGCTACTAGATGAACGTTCTGTTGGAAAACATGTAACATATTCATTGTGAGATAAGAATAGGTTTATTATTTCAGATGTGAAGTATACACACATGGTAAAAATACCTTTAAAAATACTGTTAAGGCAGTTTCATGAAAAGGAACAGGCACTCAACTCCAAATGACATTTCACTATTAAATGAGCTGATGGTGCAGAAGCAGAAAAATTAAGGATTCTAAGAAGGACATCGGTTACATTAGCAGATACTTCACTAGCCTCTGAAGGTTTCAAGCCTTGATTTAGCAAGGCACTAAAACAAATGGTTAACTTTAAGCATATGAGTAATTTCACCCCTTATCAGCAATGCTCTTAAGCACATACTAAAGTGTTTTGTGAAACTGGGCCCTGTCATGGGGCAGCTGGTCCCTGTGAATAGACTGGGCTCACCTCCCCTGTGTCAGAGCAGGTGAGCCCAGGTGACCCTGTTGAAGGGGGAAGTGCTACACCTGGGGCTATAAAGACCTGTCAAAGGGCAGGAAGAGGAGGAGTGATTAGGACACATTGTGCCTGGAAGAGGAACCCTAGAGGAGTGGCACTAACTCCAGTGGTGGCCTCTGGAGTAAGGGGCCAGGTGCCTAGGAAGGTTGCCCTGGAGCTGCCATTCCAGAAGAGCACCAGAGCTGAAGGAGGACTGGCTGAAGCAAAGGGAGTTGGCTGGGACTACAAAGCTGCCAGAAGCAGGATTACCAGAGATCCTAGGGAAGAGAGTCCACGAAACCCTAGGACAAAAGATGAGCGAAGGGACTGGTGTCTTGTTTGTTTATTGGCTTATGTTTGGACAATATACCTAAAGGAAAGAAGATTGGGTTGGGCAGTGTATGCCTCTCAGATATGGGAGAAGCCTTGTTGTGTCACAGATGGTGGAGAATGTGGGCATCTCAAATCCGTCTCAGATACTAGGGGGGAGGCAGTAAGGTGGATCTTTGGTGAAGAGAAAGCTGAGCCCAGGACATTGACTGTCCCATACCACATTTGGGTGGGTCAGAGGAAAAATGGAGGCTGCGATCTGCCTGTTAACAGGACAGCAGCAGCAGATGGCCATGGTACAGCAGCAACAAGAACAGCAGCAGCAGACGACCCAGATTCTGCTCATGTAATTGATGAAGAACCTGCAGAAACAGCAGGAGGCACAGTTCACCATTAAACAGAGGTGACAAGATGCCCCCTTTCAACAAGTGAGGTTACAGAACAGTTGGGCTAAGGAATGCCGGGCAACACGGTTGGTGATGGACCCATGAGCTGGCTGGCCCCAGGCCTGCCAAAGCAGGGACCAAAACACAATCCCAAAGGCTTCCTCTGAATGTTTGAGAGAGTGGCAAGCAATGCAGGATGAGAAGGAGCAACCTGTAGCACCATTCCTAATGGGCAAAGCTCAGGCCATTTACCGAGCAATAAGCAAAGAGCAGGTGATCTCCTATCTGGCAGTGAAGGCAGCCATTCTGGATTGAGAGGGACTGACTCCAGAGGCCTAGAAACACTGGTTTCAGGTAGAACCATTTTCATGAGTGGCACGAAAATGCCATGAGTGGTGGCTCAGAAATTACAGGATCTCATGCCTCCATGGTTCTGCCAGCTGGAGAGAGAGATTCATGGACCAAATTGTCCTGGATCAATTCCTAAAGACTGTCCCCTTGGAAGCCAACAGCTGGGTGAGATGCTTTCAGCTGGCTGGGGAGGGAGACGCTGTTGAATGGGCAGAGGCCGCCTTTGAGGCCAAGAGAGACAAGCAGCCAGGGCAGGATGGTAAACTGAGGGGAAGCCAAAGGTGGTGGCCCAGGGAAGCTCTCAAAGGGAAAATTCTCAAATGGCCAAAAATGGGGTAATGTACAAGAGCTACGGGGGGGGGGGGGGGCAGCGGCGGGGTAGTCCCACAGTCTAGTAGAAGCCCTCAAGGTGGTGGCTGAGGGGGACGCTTTGTATGCTTCAGGTGTGACCAGCCTGGGCATATTAGACAAGAATGGTGTGCGATTTTCTAGGTTGTTAGACTACAAAAGCACCAAGAGCGGAAGAGCTGAAAAGCACTATATCACCAAAAGCTATCTGAGCCTTGACTTTTGATACCCAAGGCTTCAGAGATGTGCCATGGCTGAAACTGAGCTGCCCTCATTACCCCTGCTTCTAGGCCTGCGCCTGTGAGGTGCTGAGTACTCTTGAATTCCGTTGAAATCCACCACTTTTCAGATCCTTCTCTCTCTGTTTTCTCAGATAATACCATTGTTTACTTAGTAAGAACTGTATCAATATTAGCTGAACGGTACAACTCCTGGTAGATAAGCTTGAATAGCTCACTGGTAAAGCGGGTTGAAAAAATGGTGACAATGTTATAATTAAAATCTCAATTTAAAAAAAAAATTGTCTCTGTTTCAGTACAGTGCCTAGCACAATGTGGCCGTGACCTCAGTTGGGGCCTTTAGTCACTACTATTTTTCATTTTATTACAAGAACAGCTAAACAGCAGCTAACATTTGTAGCAGATAATTAGGTTGACAAGGTGATGCAGTGCTGATGGTGTAAAAATAGAATTGGAAGGAATAATATGGCTCCCCCAATATCTTTTATTGGCAAGGCCTGGAACCTACACTTCCCGTAGTGTTTCAGGACAATGTGGCCATTTTATATATTAGCACACTATACAATATAATGTAAAACTGCTGGTCACAGCACCTTGTGTTAGTGATACTAACAATCTCATTGCTCCTGTCAACTTCTGTGGCTGCACCAAGAATGATAGTTCACCAGGGTGTTGTAAAGAGCTTTTTGTTTGTTGCAGAGAGTGGATTCTCCATTCACACAATGCTAGCCAAAGCTGCTACTGCTATCTCTGAAGAGCAGCACTCCAGTGCTGATTATACAGCTTCCCAAGGGCTAGGTATTCTAATTTTATTAGAAGACTCCATTATGGCGTACTCAATGGAACAAGAGTTCTTAATTATGTAGGAGAAGAGTGTTCCTGAGGACATAATCATGCCTAGCCATAGGGAGCCTTCTTGTATTATCTTTCCTGGCCTCACTGGGAATACAAAGGTAGTGCTTGTAAATGTGAGGGTAAAGGCATAATGCCATATACACACAATACATGTGAACATTTACCTTGCCTTTTGCAAAGGCAAAAGAAAAACAAAACAAAATGTTCGGTTTGTGGCGTTTTTGAATTCCACAGAAAGTTGTTCCTTTTTGGACAATCCATACCTTGCAGTCACTTCGCTAGCAAACACAGACATTCACCTAACTGAGTGCACCGATATCATCTATTGCGCTGTTTAACACTTACTTGGAGAATGACCCAATGCCCATGTGTAGCAGCCTCCTCTAGTGCCTCTTCTGCCACCATCTCTTGACCTTGTCCTAAAGAGATATTATGGAATTTTCCAGAGTCGATAGTAAACCCAAGTTTTTTTCCTATAAGGGAAGTGGCGGGGGTAGGAAACGAACAGAGCAGAAAGGGGAAAAAATGATAACATCTCATTAATTCCACTATCGCTGGGGCAATATTCATTAGTTCTTCTGAAGCACTTCACTAAACCCTTACAATTTCAACAAGCAAAATTGCGAGCTTTCAACAGCAGCCTTATTGCTGGTATTAGAAAAAGCCTGCAGAAATCTGTTCCCTTGGTTTTAAGATAATGAACCTTTTGACATTTTGACAGATGTTAGGCATTGTTAACTGAGCTTTAGAAACTCTTACAGGGGGTACAAAGCAATTCCCTTATAAAAAAGGAGCAACATGTGGTAGATATCACATCAGTTTTTTAACCGATTGGTTCAGTGGGTAAATGCACAAGCCTCTCACCTTGTGGGGCCTGAGTTTAAATTGAGCACAGTCAGGTCACAGCTGTATTAACCTGGTATTCTCAGTATAGTCTGTGGGGAATAGTAATCCTAAGCATAAAGCGACAGTGCTTTACACAATTGAATATAGTTTGTATAATGACCATTATTTAGTCACAGGGGGCACAAGATTACATGAGCATGGAGAAAATTGCCCTCTGGCTCTCATCTAGTCAAAAGGTAGAAAATGGTACAAAAGAAACTTGCATTATGCCAAGCAGAGGAATGTTCAGTCTAAAAATTTCTTCATACTATAGTGCTAATAGCCTTGCACTTTTCATCCACTCCATTTACCACAAATAGGTGGGGGGTGGGGAAACTTCACAATTTAACTCTTTTGTTAAAAATAAACCCAGTCATATTAATTTGATTTGTCATATTAATTTCTATTCTTTTATGATGACACATTGTTTTGGTTTTGTTTAAGATTTTAAAATTTAGGACCCAATCCTGCTCCCTTTAAATGAAAGCCCAAAGTCCCATAGTCCTCATTGGCAGCAGGATTGGGCCTATAGATATTTTCTCTCCTTCTCCTGTGCAAGCACAACTCCCATTGAAAACAGACTCACCAAGTGTCTCCATATCTTTAAGAGGGTCTACTCCAGGGAAGAGGATGAAAAACACTGGAGTCGCTGGACTGCTCTCTTCATATGATTTTGCTAAGTCCATCCTGGTGCTCTCCACATACTTGGAACCTAGTTTTTCCTCCACAAAGTTTCTATATAAATATAAAGTATAAACTGAAGACACCAAGCATATCCACAATTACAGATTTAGGTCCTGTATTCTTCTCAGACTACATAACCTGCTGCTACTAGGCTAGCAGCAGTTTCATTAAAGAAAATTGTCAGGGAAGCCAGGGAGGGAAGGGCAGCCAGGTGGTAAAGAGGGTACAGAAAAATCTGGCATATGTCTGTTCAGGAAAGGGGACAATGACTATGTGATAGAAAGGACAACTAGGCACAGCAAGTAATCAGTTAGGGAATGCTTCTTCCTAGGAAGGTGTGAGCACGGGTAGCAAACAGTGGTGCTGGCACAATGTGTACAGCGGGGGTGCTGAAAGCCACTGTACAAAACTTCAAACCCAATATATAATGGAAACCACTTCAAGCCAGGGGCCGCTGCCATGCCCACAGCACCCCTAGTTCCAGCACCTATGGTAGTACAGCTGGTAGGGTTTGGGCAGTCGGGCGAAAGGTACTATTCTTTGGGAGGCAAGGGATTTAAAAAAAAATCAGAGGGTTTGGATAAGTATACAAGGCTGACATTTTTTGAGGATCACAGATTTTTAAAGAAGAGTGAAAAGGAGAATTACCATCCCATGAGTCTAACTGCTATCCCTAGAAAAAGAATGAATATTGAGAGAGAAATATGACTAAAAAGTGGGCAGTCAGCAGCAAGGATTTTTTTTTTTAATTATAAATGAGCCACTCCTTGTGGCTCAGGGCACATGTATAGAATCTAACAAAATCACCAATCTATAAATAAGTAAGCCAATTCCCTATAAACAGTCAATCTGATCCCACCACCTTCTCACAAATACCTGAAAAAGAATAGATAGGCCTTGTACTATTGCCACAAAGGCCAATAATCAATAATCTCAGACTCTGACTGACCAGCTAGCTTGTAAATTAGATTCCTATAATTGAAAATTTCATCACAGTGGGCTACACATCCAATAAGCCATCTTCACGTGTGGTTCCATGGATACACACAATGTCAAAGACCGTACCTAAGAGCATAGGTCATTCTATCTGGGCGCAGTGCCCTCAGTATGATAAGTTTCTGAAGAGAGCTTTTGTTTTTCCATTCCTGTGGAAACTTTTCCTTTTCTGGGCATTCTGAGTCCACCCATTTCTTCCATCTTTTAGCAGACCCTTCGATATCTCTGTCTAACCCTCGGAACTCATCCATTAGAGCAATGGCCTGGAACACACCAAACACACACATGGGTGATATGCCCATGACGTATAGTTGGGGTGATAATGAAATACTTTTTACTAATAATATTTACTAGTAATATTATTTGACACCTATGACCTAATTTAAAGCACAGTTTATACGTACAGCCTATATGAATAAATGTTTTTTTGTAAAAGACTATGCCATTTCATATCTCCATACAATCTGCTTACAGTTAAATACCCAGTTACCACACACTGTAACACATAAGATTAGGTTTTTCTGAGAGTAAGGAGCTGTGTGAAGATTAGAATTACGTTCCTGGAGGAATACAGAGATTATAGAAAATCAGCATTTCCACATGAAATCAATATATGTTTCTATCATCTCAGGGGAAAAAAAAGTTAAAATGCAAGGATAACTCATTCAACAGCACTGCAAGTTGTATTAACATTTAATATGGAATATATGACTTTATCTGACATTATCTAGCTCTAGAAGGTCTCCAGAAATAACATAAAATAAGATTTGGAACTGAAAAGCAATTCTCCAATTAAACCTACTTTAATGGCACTCCATGACTGAGGAGTCAAAAAGTCAACCGGACTCTTGAGTGTGTGTTCGACTGTGAATCGAAGCAGGAAATCCAATTCAAGGAGTTCTATCTCTTTACTTCTCAGCAGAATCTTGACAGCATACAAAATTGAAAAAGGTCATCAGGTTTACTTGGCAGTCACTTGTGACTTAAAGCATTTACCACGCAACAGACATTATTGAATAGGCAGCATAAAGCACTGAAAATTCTGGTGACTGAATCTTCTGTAGCTCTAATAGAAGAATTTAGCTTGAGCCAATTATTTTAAAATAAGGAATAGAAATACATTATAAAAGAAGTAATGGAGTGAGGTCAATTCCTGGACCTTCATTATTCACAAAGCTAATAGATTATGCTTTCAACCTTAGCCCTGTGTTTGTAGTACACACTGCAGAACTTGCCTCAGACTGTTAAACAGACACCAAAAACCCCCACCAGTAACCTCTGAACTAAATAATTTTGCAGAAGTTAAAGTTGTCATTATGCTCTATGCTAGCAGTAGCACCCAAGTCCTTGCATTTTTTAAAAATAGCTAGATTACAATAGTAACTATGATTTATGATTCTTTAGCTAGAGTAAAAAGAGTTATTTGAAAAAAATAAAATAAAGCCATAGTCCTTAAAGATCAGAGTTATTCTGGGCTTTGATTGTGCAAGATTTTTTTTTTCGATAGCACTAATGAAGTGGCTAAGGAAACCTGAGTTCCATACCACTCCCTACATTTGTCCTCCACCCCCTTTAAACACATATTGAGGGACAGGAAGTTCACACTTGTCAGAGTCATTGTTCTAGGCTCTCTTCAGACTCAGGGAGACCACAATGACTCACATTTGGAATGTTTTTTTGCAAAGAGAAGGGATGGTAACTTTTTTTTTTTAAATAAAATCTTAACCTGCAGAAGTTAAACATGTCAGGAATACCACAAAACTATATCAGGGGAGACAAATCTAGCCCATAGGTTGAATGTACAATAAAAATCTTGAATTCAAATGTATCTTTAACAAAATGCCTACCACCACCACCTGTGTTCTCTCTCCTCCCCTTGCACACTGTGAAGAATGGGAATTATGTGTACTAATTTTATGAATGTTAGAATCTGTGGATAACTCTCTACCCCGAGAGTTAATTCCAGCTGGAGCTCTCCCCAGCTACCCAGGAATCCAGCAATGACTAATTCATTTCCTAGTGCTCAGACGGACAATACAGTGAATTCACTGTTGGAAGACTACCTCCTATCACCTCTGGAGAAATGCATCAGAAATCTGACCAGGTTCAGGAGACCTTCTCAAAACCTCAGGTCTTCAGGCTGGAACTCTTGAACAAAGGAACTTTGAAATGGATAAAAGATAGCCTGTGACCCAAGAATCTCACACACGTGCTGACTGGGGGACCAGATTGTCAGAAAGGCAAACGATGTAGGGGGTGTAACCTGTCTCACCCAGCCCCAAGATCAGGGACTGATGGGTCAAGCAAGACAGCAGGACCTACTTATTATTTACTTGTATCCTACCTGGCCTGAATCTTTATATACAGTCTCATCCCAAAATCAAAAGATATTTTTATTACTTGGAGAATCTCTGCTATAAGTGCCAAACTCTACACAACCATACCTAGGGAACGGCAAGCAGCACTTCCATAATTTTCATCCCTATAACGTACTCAGAGGAGTAGAACAACAAAGAAAATAAAGGCCTACATAAAATAGCTGTGGAAGATAATATTATTTATATTGCAGTAGCATTCACAGTATGTTAGGTGCTGTACAACCACAGCACCTATTGTTTTACCTATAAACCACACTCTTCACCACTACTGCCTGAATTTTTTTCCCTCACCTGAAACGTTGTCTGGGCTAGGAAGGTGAGTTTATCCTTTTCAAAAAGTCCCTGACTGGTGTAAAGGAAGGCAGAGTATGTAATAGCTTCTATCAGGTTGGTGATGCGACCCTGCAGATCCTCTGATGCTTCAGCCCGATCAATTGCTTTATGGAAGACTGTGTTGAAGGCCTAATGAGAGGTAGGATCACATTATTTTTAAAGGATTTTTGTTTGTTTTAAGAGCAATTTAATAGAGTCCAATGTAAAGCTTTTCAAAGTAAGTGCCTGAGCTGTATAAAATGGAGACACTGCACAAGATCACCTCCCTCCCACCGAAATAGTATGCATGGAGAGTGTTTTCTTGAAGGGGGTAGGGAGGAGAAAATGGTTGGGGATCACAAATGGCAACATTTTTCAGTCTACTCATTTAACTCAGGAGCAAACAACCTATGCTGACTGACTCCACCAATCTTTCCCGCCCACTGGACATCCTAAAACCGACACATTCCCTCAAAGTGAAAAGGCTGGTGGTTTCAAGGAAGGAGACTTTCCATCCTCAGCCAGTCACTTTTAGTACATTTATTGTAACACATTGTTTAGTGAATGCTTCAAATCTCTCTATTCACTTGGCCTTGCAGGAAGATTTAACAAAAATAAGGTAAGTATTACTCGCATAAATCAGAATGTAAACATCTGACAAGAGAGATTATTGGGAAGTTCAATATTGTGAGGAATTGGTGGGAAAATGCACAACCCTCTCTCTTGCACACAAACACCCCTTACATAGCAAATATTAATAGCTGATACAAATATAAAAGGTTGCTAATTGCTGGAATCAAACCCCCATGCTTGTTCTTTTGTATCACGCCAGAAATAAAGCTTTACCTTCAGTGAGAACTGATAGATGGGGTTGATTTTGCCCAGATCATTAACAACAAAGTAAAGAAGAGACGCTCTCAAAGCTGCTGGTCTGTAATACTCTCGGGCCTCATTAATTTTAACTTCATTCTTTTTTGCTTCAGCTACCTGTAGGACGATAGTTATCTAGTTCAGTGTGATAGTTATGACCGATTTAAAAATGATCTGAATAATTAAGGGGTGATATAAAGAGAAAAGTTGTATTGGCATAGCTACGTCTCTCAGGAGTGTGAAAAATCCATATCCCTAAGAGATGTAGTTAAGCCGACCTAACCCCTGGTGTAGACAGTGCTAGCTCAACAGAATTCTTCCATCAATCTAGTTATCAACTCTTGGGGAGGTGGACTACCTCTCCCATCACTGTAGTATCTACACTGAAGCGCTACAGTTGTGCTGCTGTAGCATAAGTATAGACATAGCCTAAGTCACACATACGTAATTGACAAATTCTTAACTGCAAAGTGAGAAAAGCAACATGGATACAGCCTGGAAAGTTGACATATCTGAAACCATAAAAACTGTTTGGTACATGTAGATTTAAACTAGACACTCTGCTCCAGCCTTGTTGGCTAGAAATCAGAGTTGATTTGATCTTCTTTACTATATATTACTATAATTTTAAACCAGCAGTTTAAGAGAAGTTATTATGTCAGTGGTGTGAGTTTTATATTTGTTTTCTTGATGCAGAAAGGTTGGTTGCATGATGACACTATAAACTTGCCTTTATTTTATTAAGGAACTTATTAATCAAGCCCATTATCATCAAGCTAGAAGTCTAAATACTAAGGTGGGTGACCTTGAGTGCCTGGTATTAAATGAGGATATTGTTATAATATGCATCACAGAAACTTGGTGGCATGATGATAATCAATAGGATATGGTAATACCAGGGTACAAAATATATAGGAATGACAGAGTAGGTCATGTTGGTGGAGGAGTGGCATTATATGTGAAAGAAAGAATAGAGTCAAATAAATCTTAAATGAATCAAATTGTACCACAGAATCTCTATGGATAGAAATTCCATGCTTGAATAATAGGAATATATCAGTAGGAAAATACTACCAATCATGTGAGCAGGACGGTGATGGTGATTGTGAAATGCTCTGGGAGGCTGAGTTTTCTATTTTTATAGCATTTCTAATAATAATGGGAGATTTCAACTATTCCCATAATGAATGGGTATATGTTACCTCAGGACTGGAAGCAGACAGAAAGTTTCTTGACACCATAAGTGACTGCTTCTTGGGGCAGCTAATCCTGAAATCCACAAGAGGAGGCAATTCTTGATTTAGTCCTAAGTGCAGCACAGGATCTGGTCCCAGAGATGAAATATAGCTAAACTGCCTGGTAATAGCAACCATAGCATAATTAAATCCTTGTTGTGGGGGAACACCAAAGAAGTCCACCACAGTAGCACTTAGGAAAGGGAACTATACAAAAATAAGGAAGCTAGTTAAATGGAAATTACGAGGTACAGTCACAAAAGTGAAATGCCTGCAAGCTGCATGGAAACTTTTTAAAAAACATCATAATAGAGACTCAAAAGAAATGTATACCTCAAATTAAAAAACATAGCAAAAGGACTGAAAAGTGCCACCATGACTAAAAAATAAAGTAAAAGTCATGCTTAAAAATTGGAAGTAAAATTCTACTGAGGAAAATAGAATGGAGCATAAACTCTGGCAAGTCAAATGTAAAAGTAAAAATTAGGCAGTCAAAAAAAGAATGTGAAGAGCAACTAACAAAAGACTTAAAAACTAACAACGATTTTTTTTAAAGTACATCAGAAGCAGAAAGCCTGCCAAACAATCAGTGGGGCCACTGGACGATTGATGTGCTGAAGGAGCACTCAAGGAAGATAAGGTCATTGCAGAGAAGCTAAAGGAATTATTTGCACCAGTCTTCACTGCAGAGGAGGTGAGGGAGATTCCCACACATGGGCCATTCTTTTTCGGTGACATATCTGAGGAACCGTCTCAGATTGAGGTGTCAATAGGGCTGGTTTTGGAACAAATTGATAAATTAAATAATAATAAGTCACCAGGACCAGATGGTATTCACCCAAGAATTCTGAAGGAACTCAAATATGAAATTGCAGAATTATGAACTCTGGGATATAACCTATCATTTAAATCAGCTTCTCTACCAGATGACTGGAGGATAGCTAATGACACACCAATTTTTTTTAAAAGGCTCCAGAGGTGATCCTGGCAATTATAGGCTGGTAATCCTAACTTCAGTACCAGGCAAATTGGTTGAAACTATAGAAAAAAAACCATAGAATTATCAGACACATAAATGAACACAATTTGTGGGCAGAGTCAACACAGCTTTTGTAAAGGGAAATCATGCCTCACCAATCTATTAGAATTCTTTGAGTGATGGGGGAGGAGCGGGTGTCAAAACAAACATGTGGACACAGGAGATCCAGTGCATAAAATTTACTTGGAATTTCAGAAAGCTTTTGAGGAGGTCCCTCATCAAAGGCTCTTAAGCAAAGTAAGCAGTCATGGGATAAGAAGGAAGGTCCTCCTAGGGATCAATTTAAAAGACAGGAAACAAAGGATTAGAATAAACGATCAGTTTTCAGAATGGAGAGAGATGAATAATGATGTCCCTCAGGAATCTGTACTGGGACCAGTTCTGTTCAACACATTCATAAATTATTAGAAAAAGGGGTAAGCAGCAAGGTGGCAAAATTTGCAGATAATGCAAAATTACTCAAGATAGTTAAGCCCGAAGCAGACTGCAAAGATTTGTAAAGGGATCTCACAAAACTGGGTGAATGGGCAACAAAATGACTAGTGTAATTCAGTGTTGATAAATGCAAAGTAATGCACATTGGAAAACATAATCCCAAAATGATAGGATCTAAACTAGCAGTTACCACTCGAAAAAGAGATCTTGGAATTATTGTGGATAGTTCACTGAAAACATCTTCTCAATATGCAGCAGCAGTCTAAAAAGCTAACCGAATGTTAGGAATCATTAGGAAAGGAATAGATGATAAGACAGAAAATATCATAATGCCACTATATAAATCCAAGGTACGCCCACACTTTGCATACTACATGCAGTTCTGGTCATTCCATCTCAAAAAACATATTAGAATTGGGAAAGGTACAGGGAAGAGCAACAAAAATTATTAAAAGTATGGAGCATCTTCCATGTAAGAAGAGACTAAAAAGACTGGGACTTTTTGGCTTGGAAAATAGATGACTAACTGGGGATATGACAGAGGTCTATAAAATTGTGAATGTTGTGGAGAAAGTGAATAAGGAAGTGTTATTTACTTCTTCACATTGCAGAACAACCAGTGGTCACCAAATAAAATTAATGATCAGCAAGTTTAAAACAAATAGAAGGAAGTACTTCTTTATACAACGCACAACCAGTTGAACTCATTGCGAAGGGATGTTCTGAAGGCCCAAACTATAGCAGGGTTAAAAAAAGAATTAGATAAATTCATTGAGAATAGGTGCATCGATGGCTAGTAGCCAAAATGGTCAAGGATGAAACCTCATGCTCTCGGTGTCCATAGCTTCTGATTGCCAGAAGCTGGGCATGGGTGACGGGATGGATCACTTGACAATTGCCTGTTCTGTTCATTCCCTCTGGAACACCTGGCATTGGCCACCATTGGATACAGGATACTGGATTAGATGGAGCATTAGTCTGACCTAGTATGGTCATTCTTATCTCTAGCTAGTCTGTTAATTCGTCTTAGAGGAAGCAAATAGTGAGAAAAACTACTTGAAAGCAGGTTTCTTAGATTTTGAAATGATTTTGGATTCAGCCACATTCACATCCTTTTGCATTTCCATGAGCTTTCATACATATAGACCGTCCATTCATTTAAATGTTAGGGAATGGCAGTTCTTTTTGAGAATACCCGTATTCATTTGTGACAAATGATAATACACACAAATATGTTTAACCACAATTCATGTTGCTAATGCTCATCCTGTTTATGAAGTTTCAGGCATCCAACCAGAGAGCAAAAATTATACCACGTGATTTATGTGACCAGTCACATGCCACTAATATAGTCATTGCATATAAAACATTTACCAAAAAACTAAGCATAACAGCAACATTAAAACAAAACAAAGTCTACTTGTGGATAATTCTAAAAAACGCTCATTTTAAAATATGTAATTAATTTGAATTTTACAGGTAACTTTTAAAACTAATAAAAGAACAAATTGTTACTGCCTTGTGCTCTATTTCTGCCGCTGTCGACTTTGTTGATTCAAGTTTCTCTACCAGTTCCATGTCACCCAAGAAACTACTCTCAGCAGCTGACAGACGAAGCAAAAGATCATCCTCCAGGTGCTTCAGCTCAATCTTGAAATCATTCTGCTGCTTGGTCATGAGAGACTAACAAAGGGAATGAAAAATTTAAAACAACAGCAACAAAGGATGACCATCTGTTTTGCAGAATCTTTGGCCATTATTCTCCATTCAGCTACAAGACTCCATTTCAATTTTGTTTCTAAAAAAGAGATGACCTCTTCTATTCTAATGAAAAAGTAGGTTACAATTATAGCAACCAGACAGGAGGAAAGCTTTGTCAAACATGAAAGCATGACCTGGCTTGATTCTTGATTCTGCTCTAACCCCCTTCTTCTGCTCAGGGTTGCACAAAGTGAGCAGGATCTGGTTATAACTGGCAAGTGGAGAATTCCCTGGCAGAGGGAATTCCCCTGTAAAGCTGATGGAGCCAACTCCTGCACTAGCCACTTCCCCCTCACCTCAGCATGCGGGCTAGGGCAGAGAAAGCATGGCAGAGGTCTGCTCTTCTACCTTGATCATCCATTGGTTTATGATCCTTTAGGGAAACACCCAATCAGCATACGGTCCCTTACTGGGGGCACTCCACTGGACCATGTGGCTGGCAGAAAATAACTCAGATGATCAGGGAAGCATAACCGCATCCCTGACAGCTGTCCCCACAACTCTGCCCCAAGCAGAGCTCAGATATAAGGGAGAATCTGGCTCAGAAGTTTTCCAGACAATGTTCCCAGCTCTGTTCCTTGAAAAGTAATTTAACATCTGTACCACCGTTTACTCTTCTATAAATGGGTAAAATAGTCTCAACTTCCTACTTCCTACTTGTTGTGAGGCTTGACTCATTTGAGTCTACAAAGTGTTTCAAGATCTTTGAAAGAAATGTGCTATAGCCATATGAAGTACTTTTATTATTAATTTTTCACCTACATATTTTTAATCTTTCATTTAACATCCAGTAATCATATGACAAATCTAATCAAGACCCCTTTTCAACCATTTATAAAAATATTTCTGTTCATAAATTACTGTAAAATATGTTATTACTGCCATAAATACATTTCTTCATTCCACAAACAGCAAGAATAGATTCTTAGTGCAATTAAACCAATGCCCTAGAGCCTACTAGTGCAGTCATATCTTCTTACAGGTTGGCATGAAATTTAGTTTGTGCTTATTGGCTCAAGACTATTGACTCACAAAATACACTGAACGGGGTTAATCCATTTCACCTTTCATAGACATGGTGAAAATGGAAGAGCAGAAAGAAAAATAAGAATAAGATGATGATATATAAATTCTAGCAATACTTTGTTAGAACCAAACCCCAAGGCTTGCAGAGTTGAGAAATCAGTGGGACTTAAGCAAGTGCTTCACGCACCTCTCGGTATCTACTTGATATACAAGTTATTGACAATCATTGCTCAGTAGATTCAACTGGATAAATAATGCTGGACTTAGACCCTGAGGAACAGCAATGGACTGGTCAAAAGGTGGTCTCACCTTAAGTTTTTCTAAGTCAGGTCTTTCAACACTAACAACCTCAGCCAACAGCTGCTCTTCTAGCCCATCCCTTGTGACAGTGAAATTAATGAGGGTGGTCTGAGCCTGTAATTCTGGCTGATAGTGAGGGTTAGCAAGCTTCGTGTGAAGGATCAGACGGAAATTCTTGTTGAACTCACATTCTTTGTCTTCAATCTTGATATACCTGACAATAGTTAACGTGCACAGTGATGGAAAAAAGTACTGAATAAACCAATTCACAAATATCCTACATTACATAAGACCAGTACTGTACAAGTTTAATGCCACAGAAAACAGACACAAACCAAATGCTCAATATTTGCAGTCTGAGACACAAAATGAGGATGATAAAATTCACCTGAAGCAAATGAAGTTTAGACTCTCTGCCATCATTTCATTCTTTTCATTTCCATAGGTTCACTTGCTCATATAGCATACACTTGTGGCTTATTGGCAATGAAACAGGTTCATTGAAGAGTTCACAGTTCAGAGGTAACCTTGTGTCCATGCTCCTTACCATGAACTTGGACAAGTTTCCAAATAATTCTTATATGAACTGTGTGTGTTCTTACAATTGTTTTCTTTAGCATCTTTTAAATATTTCAGCTATAAAAGCTAACACAAAGTAATAAACAGAAATATGTTTGATAAACTGACAAATGACCGGAAGAGACACAGGGCTGTCAATGGAGGAACAAAAGAGGATTTTTAAAGGTGGCTGACAAAATGTTTTGTTCAGAACAAATTAATTACTAGGTCACATGCTGCACAGAGTGAGTGATTCTAAAATAATTTTTTATTCCACTTAAGATCCCTTAAGTAAGGCATTGCTTGCTGGCTCTGCCCTTGCTGTGGTGCTACTGTCAGCAGGAGACCTTACTAAACATCAAGATGAGACATGGAGATAAGGTAGCATTGACCTAGCCCTCTTATTTTATGGCATAGTTTTGAAAAATAAAAGTTAATGTTCTGTAGTCTTTGGTCCCTTATTATTTTACCTCTTTACCTCAGAGCACCATGAAGTGGAAAAATACAAATGAGATTGAACAACGAGGAGGTGGTATCCTGCACACCGCAACAACTAGCTCAGTCAAACTGCTGTTGAGCTTACAAAGTTAGAGAATCAGAGGAATGAAAGGCCTCTGAATACTGTCAGATGGTGAACCTGGTTGGCCTGCAAAAAGCATATGAACTCTAGCCAAACTTTTGAAACCTGGCAGCATGAAGTTATGCTCCTAAATTCTTATTTAGGCACCTGTATATAAATGGCCTGGATTTTAAAATAAAATTAACCAAATCCTATATAAAACTGTACTAAAAAGGATCCAGTATCCAGTTTATTATTTTTTGGGTGGGATAAAATTCACTTCTCAGGTCAGCAAGGCAGATTTCCATTCTGACACCGTGTTCTTGCAACACGTTAAGTGCCTAATATGGACTTCTAAACGGATATGGAGAGCAAAACATCAGACCTGAACACAGCTGAGCACAAGTAAGAGGGTAATTTTGTCCTCAATGCAACATACATATACACAGGCATAAGGGTGTTGGAAGCAGGTCTCTGACAGAGGAGTACATGAGTTAGCTTGGTCAGTGGGGAGACTATCAAGGGAACAATACTACATTATAGAAATGAAAGGAAGTCTGGCTGTTAAATGAGCCCTGGACTCTTGTATAGAAGTATTATTTTATGAGTTCTCAATTCACAGAAGTAATAAATTATCAATTTGTGTGGTTATCATCTATGAAAGGCAAAAACTACAGAATGACTCAGTGGGTTTTATAACTGCAGCTATGCTGACTTTTTTGTTAATCGCAGATTTGGGAAAAATAAATGTTTTGTTATTGCTCTCTCATGGGTCAAAAAATATGAGCAACAATGATGTTAACCAGAGGGGCGGAAAACACACAACAGAATCATTTCATTGTTTCCATGAACTATATCTATCTAGAAATTAATTCTGGAGTATGAAATAATATAATGTGTGTAAGCGCTACGAGTGGAATTCTGAATGGTGAGGTAGTGCAAGAGTGGCTCTACATGAATTACCACAAAGGATTACTTTTGGTAATTCCTTCACTTATAGTCTTTTCTTCTCCCATCCTACCAACAGGGACAATCAGAACAGACTGCAGTAAGTCTCCCCCTGCCAGGGGACATGGCAGAAGACCTTTCAAACAAGCTTGATATATAAGCTGCAGAACCACCACTTCCTTCTAGTTAGAGACTTTCAGAGAAAAATGAAAAAATGATAGATCACCCCCACTTTTCTTGTAGAAATTACTACAGCCCAAAGGGCTGCCTCAAAATAAAGTGAGAGATACATGTCCCAGAGTTTAATCCCAAAGCACCTGTACCACCAAGAAAATAGTGAGGTCTTTGCAACAATGTTTTGTTGGTGCTGGTGTTTTGTTTTAAGAATCTTGGAATGTAAGGATGGGAACTAAACTCCTGTCTTCTGATGGGTCTATGAACAATAGATATAGCTGATGAGTAGGCACAAAAGCCAACATTTTCAGAAATAGGAGCTTCAAGTTAGCCTAAATCAATAATTGTGTACCTAAATAAAGTGACTTGAGTTTCAGAAATACCAAGGAGCTCTCATCAGCTTCAACTTTTCTGCTGCTCACTACTCAGCAACTTCAGAGAAGAAGCCTTAAACTAAAAAGCAGTTTCAGTCAGTTTACATGCATTAGCTTGAGGCACCAGAGGTGGACAAAAGGAATTCATCTTTGGGAGAGCAGATCTGGAATAAAGGGAGTTTCCAGGGCTAGCTCAGTATGAGACTGATTAGGGTTGAGAACACAGAGACCACCAAGAGAGCCTGCAAAATCATCTCTGTTCTGTGTCTCTCTCTTAGGACCTGACACCCAAAGCAACACCTTATTTTTTTCTTCTAGTCCCAGGTGAAAGGGATGAATGGCTCCTGGGTCAAAGGACCAGAATAGAGAAAGTTTTGATGACATACTCAAAGACAGCCACTTAATGGAAGGCAATCCCCTGCGTTGGCAGATGCTCTGAACGATCTAGAGGATGAAGCTTCACTCCCTGAGGATTAATTACCATGGCTGAACCAATCTACCAAAGGAACAGCTCTTCCCTTAGAGATATGTTGTCTGGGAGAAAAGGCAGCATAACACCCAAGACCCTAGAAGAAGAGACTTGCTGAGGAGGAAGTCTTGAGTGGATGAATATGGCCTCATGGTATGAAAAAAGGTGAGAATCCCTGATCCATCTTGAAACTTGAACAACAGCTTTTTTAGTAACTACACCGGACCCTCGCTAGAACACGGGATTTGGGATCCATGCGCGGTACCGCGTTATAGTGGGGACTGCGTTAAAATGAATTCCAATTAAAGTAATTAAATTTGGGATCCATGGGTGCTATATAGACGCACGTTCTAGAAAGGGTCCAGTGTAGTTTGACTACTTAAAATTAAAAGATTTGTATTTCATAGATTTATAGCGTTTAAGGCCAGAAGGGACCATCAGATCATCTAGTCTGACCTCCTTTATAATTTCAAAATGGATAGTTCCTGTTAAAGAACTGTGCCTCTAAATGGTATAAAATACGTCAGACTCCTACTACTACTGCATTTCTGAGCGGCCCAGACAAGATGAAGAGAGGTGGTACATAGATTTTCGGACAAGAAAGCAAGGGAAACAATATTTTTCTTCTTTGGGGGAAGAAAAACTACCTTTCCATTGATTTATGAAAAGCTTTATTTCAAACCCTGCTGTTTAAATTAAAAGCTTCTGTCTCACACTTGTGAACTCCAGCAACTAATGCAGAGAGCAAAGCTGAACTAATCAGATGCAGACTGAAGCGGTTACTTAGCAATCACAGCAGGCAGACTGTACAAGTTGGTCAAACTAGTTTTGTGGAAAAAAATTGTGCCTGAAAGTTGCACAGCTGGCAAGACGTTTAAGGAAATGAAAGCTATTCCTGAATAGAAACTGAGTTAATTGTCGTGCTGTTTCCTAAAGAATACATAACAGTCATATTTCACATGCATGGACACAATGTTATCAGACTAATGCTGCAACTATATGCACAATCAAACCTGAAAACATCTCAAAGTACAATTTGTACTTCAGAATGCCCCAATCCTTTTTGTGAAAAGGAGATCACAATCCACTACATACTCCCTGTTAAGTGAATGGAAATATATTTGCACAGCCAACATTTTAAAGCATAGATGCCTAAAGATAGTAAGCCTGGTTTTCAGATGCCAAGTGCCCACAGCCCCCACTGCAGTCACTCATGTTGTAGGAGAAGATTATATATATGAGGTTCTCTAAAACAAAATGTTGACAGCAGTCTTCATTCAGAAACAACACCATAAATTGGTATTATGGTATGTTCATTATAGAGTGACTGTACGAGATTTAAGCTCAAGAATAACCTCAGTTAACGATGGGGAGATATAATTTTATGAAGTTGCTTCACAAATCAGCAAGTTTTTTTTAATATGTAAGCTAATAAATTTGCTTTGGAAGGACTACAAGTTGATATATCTTCCCAGCTATGCTTTCTGTCGATTGATATCATAAGACATATTTTACTTAAAATTAGGATTGTCTGAAGCTCAGTGGATTTAATTATTTCTAATTATCCAGCTGTTGTCAGTATGTGGCCATTTTATGACAGTGGTATCTACTGTGTGGGTCAGGTTCAACTGTATATCTTTTCAAACACAGAATTAATGTACTATTGATGAAACCATTACTAGAACCAAATTAAAGTCTAGGCTGATGTATTGGTCTGCAGGGTGCTGTCAGACATGAAAGGAGTAATTAGTATTCATTACTTCGTACTCTACAACATTCCAATTATTAATGAACTTCAACTGTTGGACTGCACCATATCTATCACAAACATCTTTCTAGTCTTTCTTTATTAGGAGGAAAAAACAAATGCCTGACAAAACTACTAAAAAACAGAATGCTGAAAACTTTGCTTGTTTGCTAGGGGAGGTCTGCATAGTTCCACTGCCGCAGGAGGTAAACATGGCACATCTTCCATGATTCATTGTGTGGAATGTCTTTGAAATGTTAACTGGATGACCTTTTATTCAATCTTGTAAAGAACACTTAAACACACTGATTACTAAATATTAAATTGACTAGTGTTTATATATATTACTCCATCATGCTATGTGCAAGCCTTTGCTGAGTTACTGTATAATTATATTGCTATGTCCCCTGCCCTTTCCACCTCAACTCCTCCCTACTATTTTATAACCCTCTTTGTTACATCATGTCTGAAATTAGATAGTAAGACTTTCAGGACCATGGGACTTGATTCTGATCACACCAGTTTTATACCAGCGTAACTCGGCCTTAATAGAATTACTTGAGATTTACATTGGTGTATGTGCAAGCAGAATCAGTCCTTGTGTTATCTTATTTGTATTGTGAGGTACCTAGCAAACCTTTGTGGACTGAAAAATAGTAACTAATGATCATCATCTAACCAAGAATGCAGTAGGTAGAGATAATGGGGGAAGAGTTGAGCAGTTGTTTGAGACTTTTCAGTTACTTCCTAAAACGTAATGAAAATGAAACATTTCAAAGGGGTACGGTGCAGGGTAATGCTGTGTCTTGCATAAAATGGTGCTAGGCCTGAACAAGTGATGTGTTCGCTCCATAGCCTTTATAGCCTTTATGTGCAACTTTGACAAATATGGAGAAAATTTGGGTAACCTGCCAAAAAATGGGTCCTTTTTTTGGGGGGGGGGGGGGAGGAAGGGGAGGGAGGGAAGGGACAAACACAAGTAGTAGTATTTTGCCTCCGACTAATTTCCTCTTGTGTAAGTAATCAAATCACTAATAAAACAAGCATATTTCACTTGGTCTCATCTGCTTGAGGGACATATGAAACTATGGTCCCTTCTGCCGGACTCTGGTGGTTATCCAGGAAGGCCTCAAAGAGCCCATGGCACACTGAGCCAAGTATAGGGGAAACAAACTCTTGCTATTTGTTTCACTCTCGCAGAATTCAAAATCTTTGGAGTTATTTTTCACAGCCTGTAAAAACAAAAATTCGTATTTGACCAGAGATCACGTTGCCATATTTCAGCTGAAAAGATCAATTAACTGAAAAGATTCACTCCAGGATTACACAGATGTAACCAAAAATTTCTCTCCAAGGTAACTGCAGCAGCTGCTGATGTGCTATAAATTTAAAAAGTGTGTATTAATTTCCACTGCCAGAAAGGGGTTATCAGTTAGTTCCTGAGCCAAAGCCCATTGAAGTCAGTAGAAAGACCCTTATTGACTTCAGTGGGTTTCAGATCAGGCTGCAACATTTTGTCATAAATAAAATTGTAAAAGGATCCCTTCATGCATCTATTCTGGTTTATTAAATCCTTATAAATTTGTGAGTGATCATGAATAAATTTACTTTAAGTGTTGTATATTTAACTATAAAGAATTTAATAAACATAGGAGGCATTTAAAATAGAAAGTACTATTCTAAAAAATATAGCAAATTTTTGCTGAGGTTCAAAGAAATTTGGTTTACCTTTTCCTGATTTTGCATGTCTCTGCACTTCCAGTTTCTAGCCAAGGCTAGAAACAAAGCATTAGAAATCCCACAAGAAAGTCTGGTCATAATATTTCCAAACAGCTTTTGAAGATTGGGATGGCATTGATGGTTTTACATTCTGATGTGCATAGGAACTTTTGGGAGCTTATCTAACCACATCCAGATGCCCAATTATTTGATATTTACTCATCACCAGTTTTAAGTCATCACCTTTCTTAAAAAACAAAACAAAAATTCTACATAGAAAGTTATGATGAGAAGGTAAGAAAAAAAAATATACAGTGTCCTTGGCAGCAACTCCCACGCAAAAATCCTGATTGCTCTAGAATACTTACTTCCCTTTTTTAATTGTGTTTCCTCCAAGTAAGGGATCAAGTACTGGGTCTACTGTTTCATTCAAGTTTTCAATTAGGATGGTGTCTCCACAGGCCAACGCTCTTTCAATGGTCTTCAGAAACCTTAACACAAAAACCAAACCCTACCTATTAGATGATGTGCTAGTTACGGAGCAATATATTTCTGCTTTAGATTATACAAACGAGAAATATTTGTATAAGAGCTCTATCAAAACCTCCTGTATTGCACTCAAAAAGATATTTTCCAGTGGTTAATAATTCTGTGCATTTGAGGCAAGAGTCTTTGCTCCTTATTCCTGCTTATGTAGTAACAAACATGAGTTAGGCTTTGTACAAGAACAAGGTCCTACCCTGAAGAACTATTGATATGAACATTTACATTGAACACTCACAATGAAATCAAATTCACCTGCAGGTGATGTTTTCTCTCAAGTAATTTTTTCTGTGTTTGCACAGTGCCTATTACAAAGGGGTTTTGGTTCATGACTGGGCCTCCAAGGCATTACCACAAGACAAATAAATAGCAGTAATTCAAATAAATAATCATAATAATATGGGCCAAACTATATCATTTCAGGCATAAAGTGGCTGCATGGAAGACATGCAGAAGAGGTCACAAACGGGACAATTATTTGTATGACTTGGGAAAGCAAAAGAAGAAAGGGCCAAGTGGGAAAAAGTACAAAAAAATGAGTTCAGGGAGGCAGACAGGACCTAAATTGTTCAAAGCGTTTAAAAATGAAGCATTATTGAGACCATTTACTGTACTCTGCTATGTAACTATCTGTTGTATCTGGATTTCAATAAAATAAACTAAGCTAGCCTCTTCTAGTATGATAGTCTTTAAAAGGGTTTGAAAGTTATTAAAAGAGATGTGGTAGTTTTCAAAGATATTTTACTGCAGCAGATAAAATAACATTCAGTTCAAAACGGACCACAATCCCCTAAATAAATGAAAGTCAGCATGACAGGAGATAAAAACAGACCCATTCCATAGAACCTCAACTTAATTCCATTCAAACTTAGCTGCCAGAATTCAAAAAGTCTTAGAAAATCTGTTACTGAATGCAGTTTTCTGTGTAATACCACTAGACTGAGTTTCTCACTCTGTATTAGGTACATATATGCCATTATCTTATACACTACATTGTACTATATAAATGTCCAATAATCAGGAAACTAAACAAAGCCTTTGCTTTTAGCACCCTATTTATGGGAAAACCAATTTGCTCTCATGTGCAATGCACCTCCCACATTAACTTTATTCCCTCTTTAGCACTTGAAAACAGTACAGCAGAAAGTGCCTTTTTCAAGCAGAGCTTTTAAAATGAGAAATGCTACTATGGATAAATAAGCAGCAGTACTATAATATTTCAAATCTACAAGTAAATACATTACAACACACACCAAGTCCTTCTTAAAATTAGGGGAAATTTATAGAAGTAAATACGAGAGCTAATTCTTCAGTGCGCACACATACCCTTTCTGCCCTAGACGTATGACTTTAAGGTCAGTTCCATATTTATTCTTTATCCATTTAATTCCCTGTTGCTGGGGATCTATCATCAGAGGCCAGCGCTCACAGTTTGTTAGAATAGTGGCATTTTCTGTTGACATTCTATCACCGGGCAGTCCTTCGTTATTCCATGCTGCAATCGTAGCATCATCAGTCAACATGGCAATCAGGTCCAGGCCTTCAGTTATTGGAATAGGAACCTTTGAATCAGAGTGAAATATAATAATCCAGCAAGGTTGTAAAGTAGCAAGACAAGACGCAGTGTGATGTACAAAATAATAGGAGCCAATGTAATTAGAGATTTATTATATATATAAAGAAAGTAAGTCTCCTGTGGACTATGAGATGCTAAAATAAACAGTATATATAATGCAAAGCAGATAATCCTATAGTTTACCGTGGTACTTTTTAAATGATGTTTTCTTTTCATTCTAGAAACTTCATAAATATTTTCTTTAGGATTTATTAAATCAAGTAAACAGCATATGTGTATATAGTTTGCAGTGTATATAGCTTTTAACACTTAAAGAGGACGACAAATTCAGCGCTCATGAATGGCATTGAACTGGTAATTCTGGAGAATAAAGCTCATTCTTTACAGAAAAGGTACACAATATGGATAGCAGCATAACAGGCTTCTTGCACCACTTTGCCAATGTGCTTCAGCTATGTGATAAAGAGGTCACCTACATAAATCACTGGATAGGGCAATCTCCATTGCTATTGCTTCTCTGCAACGACAGCCAAAATCTCACCAATTAGAGCCAACTGACTGGGAACTGCACTGCCACCTCCAACTCATTTCGCACAAGCCAAAGAGCCATCAGATAGTCATACTTATCCTAAGTGTTTTCATGCTTCTGTGTGCTTTAAAAGAAATTAAAATCTTCAGTCATGAAGCATGAAGGTAGGGGGATGGAGATGCACATGCAAGAGGGGAAGAATTTTTAAAAAAAGCAAGCGTTTTAAGGAAATAGGTAGTATACTCTATGGGTGTGAGGACTGATCATGGGATACCGGAACTTTCCTCTATAAGAGTGAAATATTGGCCTCATGGAAGTCAATGGCAAAACTCCCATTGATTTCAATAGTGTGAGGATTTCACCCTAGGTTTTTATTTCTGGAAAGTAGCAGCTGGAACTGAATTCCAAAACTTAACACTGTTTTGGGGAAGGGGGACAAATTATTCCTCCCCACCCAACACACACACATGCACACGAGTCTAAGTATTGAATTAATGTTTACAGGAAATGATGTTTTATGGTCAACCAGATTTGCACAATCTGTAGCACTAAAAGGAATGTACCATATCATAGAAATGTAGGATTGGAAGGGATCTTGAGAGTTCATCTAGTCCAGTTCTCTGCACTGAGGCAAGACTAAGTGTTTTCTAAGCCATCCCTGCCAGATGCTTATTTATACTGTTCTTAAAAACCTTCAATGATGGAGATTCCACAACTTCCCTAAGTAGTTAGTTCCAGTGCTTAACTACCCTTACAGTTAGGGAGTTTTTCCTAATGTCTAATCTAAATCTCCCTGGCTGCAATTTAAACCCCTTACTTCTTGTCCTGTCCTCAGCGGCTAAGGAGAACAATTTATCACCTGCCTTTATATAACAACCTTTCACATACTTGAAGACTGTTCTGTCCCCCTTCAGTCTTCTCTTCTCCAGACTAAACAAACCCTTTTTCCCCCTGCCCCCAATCTTTCCTTCACAGGACATGTTTTCTCGATCTTTAATGATATTTGTTGCTCTCCTCTGGACTGTCTCCAATCTGTACACATCTTCCCCAGAACTGGACACAGTACCCCAGAATGATGTTCACTTTTTTTTGCAACAATGTTACACTGTTGACTGAGATTCAGTTTATGATCCACTGTAACCCGCAAATCCTTTTCTGCAGTACTCCTTCCCAGGAAGTCATTTCCCATTTTTTATTTGTGCAATTGATTATTCCTTCCTAAGTGTAGTACTTTGCATTTCTCCTTATTGAATTTCAACCTATTTATTTCAAACCATTTCTCCAGTTTGTCAAGTTTTTGAATACTAATCCTGCCCTCCAAAGAGCTTGCAACCCCTCCCAGCTTAGTATCATCCAAAAACTTTATAAGTATACTTGCTATGCCATTATCCAAATCATTGTTGAAGACACTGAATAGAACCAGACTCAGGACAGATTCATGCTGTAACCCACTTGATATGCCCTTCCAACTTGACTGTGAACCATTGATAACTACTCTCTGAGTACAGTTTTCCAACCTGTTGTGCATCCACCTTGCAGTAGGTTTGTCTAGGCTATATTTCCCTAGTTTGTTTATGAGAGGGTCATGTGAGAGAGTATCAAAAGCTTTACTAAAGTCGAGATATATCACATCTGCTGCTTCCCCCTAACCACAAGGTTTGTTACCCTGTCAAAGAAGAATATTAGGTTGGTTTGACATGATTTGTTCTTGATAAATACATGTTGACTGTTACTTATCACTTTATTATCTTCTAGGTGTTTACAAATTGATTGTTTGGTTATTTGCTCCATTATCTTTCTGGGTACCACAGTTAAACTGACTATAATTCTCTAGGTTATTCTTATTCCCCAATTTAGATGAGATAGATTAGATAATCTCCAGTTTAGTTGCTGTGGCAACAATTTTGTTGTTGGGTAAGACTATTACTGAACTATGGCAAGGGATGTATTTCTTTAACATTGCCTAAACCCTGATTCTAATCGCATAGCCATCAATTTCATGAAGTAAAACATGACAAATAGTATAGTCAGTTTCAAGCGTTGAAATAAACTTGTTTGGAAGCAGACATAGCATTGTGGTGGTGATGGTGGTTTGTTCTTACAAAGCAAGGTATTATTTTAATATGTAACTTTATCTAGTGTCCCAAACCTGTACAAAACTAAGACTGCATCACTGTATCTCCTACTTTTCATAAAGAAGAGCTTTTAGCTAGCACCTGGTGTTTTTAAAACAAGTAATTAACCACATTTCTCTCTCTGCATGGGGAACATGTCAAAACTGAGACAGGTTTCAGAGTAACAGCCGTGTTAGTCTGTCTTTGCAAAAAGAAAAGGAGTACTTGTGGCACCTTAGAGACTAACCAATTTATTTGAGCATGAGCTTTCGTGAGCTAGCTCATGCTCAAATAAATTGGTTAGTCTCTAAGGTGCCACAAGTACTCCTTTTCTTTTTGCAAAAACTGAGACAATCAATCTTGGCAATTGCCACTCAGTAAAAGAGCTGATTTGACTAGCAATACCAGTATTTAGAGAGTGTATTAGAGAAATTATTATTATTAATTTAAGATAGTGATCACAATGTGCTAAGAGTTAAGGGTAGTCCCTTCTCCAAGGAGCACACAGTCTAAAGACTAAGAAGTAAGGAGAGTCGGGGGGCAAGAAATAACAATAGGTAATTTACACAGAAGTTAACTAGAGGCTGCAAGGCAGAAATGGGTCCTGCAAAAAAGATCAGGAAGGTCATATTGGTCACAGAGGTGATTGTGTGAGAATCTGACAAACAAATGGATGAGGGAAGAAGGATGGTCCAGTTGATACAGCACAGGACTTGGTGAACTCAGGAGACCTGGATTAAATTCAGTTTAGCCACATACTTCTCGTGTGGCCTTCGGCACACCAGTTAACCAACCCTTTTGCGTCAGCTTCCCATTTGAAAATAGGGACGATAATACTTCCTTTCTTCCCAGGGCTGTTTTGAGGATAAAATACAGTAATAATTGGGAGGTGCTGAAATGTTACAGTGATGAGGACTGTACGAGTAGATTAAGAAATACACAGAGGTTGGGAGCATTCACTCACAGAGCAGAAGGGTTGTGGGGGGAAGGTAACACAAAACTTCACAAGGGAGTGGGCAGAGTGACTGAGTTTTGAAATTGGTGACAAGAAGCTTAAATTTGATATATTGAATGGAAAGCCAATAGATGGATTCAAAGAAGTTACATGGTACATGTCATGTTACAGTGTTACATGATAAAATCAACAGGCAAGAGAAATGAGTTTAGTGGCTGCATTTTGAATTGATGGGTGTGTTCGGGAGGTCAGAGAGGAGGATGTTGCAATAATCAATATAATGAAAGCCATTTCAAAATTCTCCTGGAATCTGAAAGTTAAATGGAATTTGATCTTTACACATCCCCATCAACAACAAATGCTATTGCACTGGAGTAGCGGAGGACATAATTTGGCCTACAGAATGAAGATGCGTAAAAGAGAAAGAAACTCACTTGCATTTAGACTCCAAGTAGAGTATGCAAGCCTTACAGTTAGAGAAAACAATATTTTACTTGTACTCTGAGAAAATCTGATACAAAGCCATTGAAAGACAAACACTGAGCTCCACAAAGACATTTTATAGTCAACTTTTAAAAGCAGAATTGTACTTTTACATTCTGAACTACAGAGAAGCTAATGGACTTGAGCTTCCAGTATGGGCCAACATTTTGTACAATAAGTTTTACCTTTTGTGATTTAAGGAAAGGAATCCACATATGTTCCACCAGTTCCTGACGATATTGTTTTGTAAAAGATCCAACGTAGGACACAAAAGCTGCCATTAACAGGACGTCACCACACAGTGTCTTTTCTTGAGCTTCAAAATGTTTAATAGACTGTCTCCAACGAATTTTTTCAGCCTAAAATACAAAATTATAACATTTCATGGACAGATATATTATTAACTGCCTCTTTAAACTCAGAGTTGGTAGAAGAGTCAACCTCAAAATAACTTAAAAATGTATAGAAGCACAATAATTTGGTGTAAGGAAATGCACAATATCAGTGATGGATGTGTGACTCCATATGATTTTGTGAAAATATGCTAATGAGAGTGAATATAATGTAACTGGAATATGCTTCATGCAAAAGGTCTCTTGTATGGTATCATTACAAAGCTTATAATCTACTGAGTGTGGTCATCCTATTTGTATAAATGTATCATTCTTGTACGTGAAACTAGAAATATGAAATATAACTCTGAGGTCCTACTGTAATTATACAAAGTGTGGGCCATTAATGGTGGTTTGGAATCTTGATGGCTCCCATCAACTAGGACAATTGGTTGTAAATGGCTCTGTTTACTTGCAAGCCCTCCTGTGAGTCAGGCCAGGAAGGATGAAGGCTTGGGGTCTCACAGGACAGTGACCATGTCAGCTGGTACTGGAATCCATCTTAAACCGGGTGCTTTTCCATTTAGAAGGAGGGGTGGGGACCCACAGAGACAAAAGATTCCCGCCTTATGCCAAAGCTATAAAAGGGGGTGGAATAGAACAAAGGGGGTTCCAGTCATAAGAAATCCCCTAGTTACCACCTGAACTAGAGCTACCAAGAACTGTAACAGGGGAAAGGATTGGGCCCAGACTAGAAAGGAGTCCAGTCTGTGAAAGAAGCTTATTGGAACATCTCTGAGGGTGAGATTTTATCTGTAATCAGTTTCTTAATGTATTAGGCTTAGACTTGCGTGTTTTGTTTTATTTTGCTTGGTAACTTACTTTGTTCTGTGTGTTATTACTTGAAAGCACTTAAATCCTACTTTTTACACTTAATAAAATCACTTTTGCTTATTATTTAACCCACAGTAAGTAATATCTGAGGGAGCAAACAGCTGTGCATCTCTCTCTAATCAGTGCTTTTGAGGGCGGACAATTTATGAGTTTACCCTGTATAAGCTTTATACAGAGTAAAACGGATTCATTTGGGGTTTGGATCCCATTGGGAGCTGGGTGTCTGGGTGCTGGATACAGGAGCACTTCTTAAGCTGTTTTGAGTTAAGTCTGCAGCTTTGGGGCGCGTGGTTCAGACCCTTGGTCTGTGTTGGAGCAGACTGGTGTGTCTGGCTCAACAAGGCAGGGTTCTAGAGGCCCACGCTGGCAGAGAAAAAGGGCTCAGAGGTAGTCTCAGCACCTCAGGTGACAGTCCCAAGGGGGTTTCTGTGATCGAACCCATCACAGGATGAACTTCAAAGATTTAGAAGTTTGGTTCAAAATAACAATCCATATTTTTTGTTTTCAATTTTGTTATAGCCGTGTTGATCCCTATTATTAAAGAGACAAGGCGGGTGAGGGAAAAGCTTTTATTAGACCAATTTCTCTCGGTGGAGTGGACAAGCTCTTGAGCTTCACAGAGCTCTTCCTCAGGTCTAGAGACAGTAACCAGAATATCACAGCTAAATACAAGGCGGTACAGATTGTTAAGCATAAAGGGTTCACATGTTCTAAGAGACCACTTATAAATGAAGTGGGCACTTAACACCTCTGCAGTCATAGGAGGAAAGAGGATTAATAGGTAGCAAAAGTGTGTTACAAATTGTTGCAATGACCCATAAAACCAGGGTCTCTGTTATGTCCATGATTTTTAGTGTCTAACAGAGTTATGAATTTAAGTTCTCAGGCAAATCTCTTGAAGGTGTTGCACCGGTTTCCTTTCAGGAAAAGGACTGAGAAGTCAGATATGGAATGATCATTTTGTGAACAGTGTTCACTCACAGGCCATAAGGTGCTTTTGTCTTTTATCATTTTTTGTGAGAATTAATTCGAGAGTATAGGGATAGTCTGGTTTCACCCACATAGTTATTGGGGCATTTGATGCACTAGATGAGGTAAATCACATGCTGGGATAGGAATGTGTAGGACCCATGGATCTTGAAAGGTGTGTTGTGGGAGATGATATAACAGTGGAGGCAAAACACCTATCTGGCTTCAAGATTAAACTCGATAAGTTTATGGAGGAGATGGTATGATGGGATAACATGATTTTGGCAATTAATTGATCTTTAACTATTCATGGTAAATAGGCCCAATGGCCTGTGATGGGATGTTAGATGGGGTGGGATCTGAGTTACTATAGAGAATTCTTTCCTGGGTATCTGGCTGGTGAATCTTGCCCACATGCTCAGGGTTCAGCTGATCGCCATATTTGGGTTCTGGAAGGAATTTTCCTCCAGGACAGATTGGAAGAGGCACTGGGGGTTTTTCGCCTTCCTCTGAAGCATGGGGCACGGGGTCACTTGCTGGAGGATTCTCTGCACCTTGAAGTCTTTAAACCATGATTTGAGGACTTCAATAGCTCAAACATAGGTGAGAGGTTTATTGCAGGAGTGGGCGAGTGGGATTCTGTGGCCTGCATTGTGCAGGAAGTCAGACTACATGATCATAATGGTCCCTTCTGACCTTAATATCTATGAGTCTATGAGTCCAGATATGGCTGCAGGTTTTGCATCTGTTGTTCTGGAAGGGTCTGGTGCTGTTTTGGGTTTGTGTGTCCTGGTCTGAGGGGAGCTTGCTTCTGATAATGAGTTTGGCAAGGTTGGTGGGTTGTGTTTGAAGGCCAGAAAAGGAGGCTTGGAAAAGATCTTTTTCAGTATGCGGTCCCCATCGAGTATGGATTGTATTTAATGGATGAAATTCTGTATGCTTTGAGTGATAGATGACAACTTGGGGTGTGTGGACAGTGGTTTGTTGTTTTTTTTAAACTGTGTTGAAACAGTTTCTCTCGAGGTATTTGGGTGGCCCGTTCCATAATGCAATCTACTTTTGTGGTGGAGTGTCTTTATCTGGTGAAGGCAGTTTTAAGAGTGTTAACGTGTATTCTGGAAATTTTCTTTGGAGCATATTCTGTGACATCTGTGATCCTGGCTGTAGATAACAGATTTCTTGATGGGATGGCTACTGTAGAGATAAGCTTGGTGATCCATGGGTTTCTTGTATATAGCTGTCTGTTGGGTTCTATTTTTGAAGTGGATTGTGGTGTCCAGGAACATGACAGTGAGGGAATGCTCTAGAGAGAATTTGATGGATGGGTGGTGGTTGCTGAAGTTGTGGTGGAAATCTATGAGGGAATTTAGGTCATCTGTCCAGAAGATGAAAATATAATCAGTGTATCTCAGGTATACCATATATTTCACATTGCATTTTGAAAAAATTCCTCCTTGAGGTGGCCCATGAAGAGGCTGGCATACTGGAGAGCTATCCTGGTACTCTTTGCTGTTCCCATGTTTTAAGCAAAATGTTTGTTGTTAAATGTAGAGTTCTTGTAGGTAAGGGTGAAATGGATGAGTTTGGTGATGTGTTTACAATGGATATCAGAGTGTTATTCATTGTCTTGTAGACATTTAATGTCATGGTGAGGGATGTTGGTGTATAGGAAGGTGACATCCATGGTGACAAGAATGGCGTTCTGAGGGAGGTTAACAGTGAACTCACACAAACGATAAAGGACAAAAACACTCTTACCTGTTGGTGACAACTTTTCACAGAGTTCACTCCATATATGACCTATCAGTCCTTGTCCTCAAAGGAAACCTGCACAACACCTTCAAAAGATGTGCCTGGACACTTACATTCCTAACTCTGCTGGACACTAAAAATCATGGACTTAACAGTCACTGGTTTTATCAGTGCAAGAATTTGTAACACACTCCACTGCCTATTAACCCTCCATCATCCCACGACTGCAGAGGGGTTAAGTGCCCACTTCGTTTATAAGTGGTCTCTTAGAACATGTGAGCCCTTTATGCTTAACAATCTGCCCCACTTTGTATTTAGCTACGACACTCTGGTTACCTTCTCCAGACTGCAGGAAGAGCTCTGTGAAGCTCAAAAACTTGTCCCCTCCACCAGCAGAAGTTGGTCTAATAAATATTATCTCACCCACCTTGTCTCTCTCATACTTTTTTGTGGCTATTGGCAACTTCTGGGTCTGCAACATTAGGATGGAATTATTGAAAAAATATGCTTGCTTGGTTTTTTTGTCTCTCTCTTTCACCACATTTCCAGTAATTTTTGCTTCTGGTTGGGCCACGTATACTCTGATAATAATGTTTCATGTGGTATTTCATTGCTTCTAGCCAGAAATGAAGAATAGTAAGGGGAAAAAGTCAACTGTTTGACCCTCAACAAAAACATAACAATTTTTGTTCAAGTTTTGGTTAAAGAAGTTTCATACTTATTTTGACTTGCTTGACTCACCCATCATGAGTCATGGAGATTTTACTGAATGATTTGGGATCATAAACTCTTTTTCTCCAACTTCACTGTATTTGTTGGAAAACATTATAATGAGGGCCAGATACTTGAAAGGAATAGCTAGGGGAAAAATCTGAATAGTTTTAAACATGACTAGCTAAGAGATTGACTCTCTCCTCATGGGATACCACCAAAGATGCAATCAGCTGAAGTACTCATACTAACAACTTAATGGTTTGTAAGGGAGAAGGGATGGTGGTAGGGCATTCACAATAAGAGGTTCTTTGATATCGGATCTTGCTCTACTTCATGTTCTTATTTTTGCAGCGTCTGGATTTCTGCAAAGCACATCTTTTTTTCAGTCCCACATTTTGGGATGTTTTGGAGAGATCTTGTGCGGTTAGTGTCGGGGGGTTATTATTAGGAGAAGTATAGGCAATTATTATTTTACCCTAAGTGGCTTATGCAGACAGTTTATTGTGTATTTAAAAGCTGTTAAAGCATCTAGAGCCACTGGAATAGGCACTTTAAATATATCAAAATAAATATTTTTAAAAATAGATTTTAAAAATTGGCTCTATCTGCTTTCCAATCAAAATGTATAACACATTATAAAAATGTATTTTAAAGCACTTGGCATGCTGTCCCTGAAACTGTTCTGTGTATGGAATTCC